TCCATCATGCATGTACTAGCATATGTCTTGCCGTCACTAGCACAAATTGCATCTTCATCTTTGTGTGATGGGCATTCACTATCTTTGCGACATCGACATGAAGTGGTACCATCGTACTTGGACACACACTGTGCGTTATGCTTACATGGGTTGTTCAGAATGCATGCTCCTTGGAATTGAATAAGTGAGTGAAATGACAATGTGAATGAGAGGGAGCAAGACAGAACAAGACAGATGGACCGAATATTCGAGATGGACAGACAGTCAGAATAAGCTTAAACGTCCTGATATAAATACATACCACAATAACCTCTCTGCTTCACTGTCACCATGGCATCTTTCATACAAGCTCTAGCCTTCATAACACACTCGTTGATATACGATTTGTCATCACTGCCACATACGGTGTCAACAGTTAATGGGCAATCGAGCTCTGATTGACATGCGCAGTTGGGTTTTCCGCCGCGCACCACACATTGCTTGTTGTCTTCGCATACCACATTGAAACAAGGATCTACAAAATTGAGATTAATGCCATATTTAGTAAGATGAGGCAGAACGGGGAGAGGGACTTGCCATAAAATGAAATATGTGATATATGTATAAAGTCATCCTGTCCATCATCCCCCTGGAGTCATGACCCTATATTGTACACTTACCACACATTCCTTCTCTAATTGCCATTATTTCAGTTCCTTTTTGACAATTTTCAACTTCCAAGTGACATCTGCTAATGTATGTACTGCCATCGCTGCCACAGACAGGATTAAGACCCGATGAACACTCTCGTATGTCCTTGCACACACACCTTGGTGAGTTGTCAACCATTTCGCATCGAGAATGATTACCACATTCGAACGTCACACAAGCATCTAGACAAACAATAAATCATGATTTTCTTAGTATGCATGGATGCACTTTGTAAGAACTTCGAGAGCTTGTTGAAACTGTTGAGGTGTGATCAGAAGGGTTATTGCTGTTATTATGGACAAACATAAGCTTAAATGAAATTCTCACCGCATGGTCCGAGGTTAGACACCGAAACTTCTTTGCGTTGTTTACAAGATAAGGCTCTGAGTTTGCAGTCATTGTCGTAGTTAATGCCGTCTGTTCCACACACTGGAGACTTTGCAGATGGACAGTCTTTCAAATCTGGACACACACAAGCTACTTTTGCATCTGATGAAGTGATGCAGATGCTGTTGTGTTGGCAGTTTGCTTCGAAGCATGGGTCTAGTTGGAAAACAAGAAAAATATGATCTTGCAAGTTAATTGTATACTGTTATAACCTAACCTGCCAATAGCCACGTTGATAGTCAAGTGAACATATGCCTGTGATTGTTATGATGGTTACTTGCTACTCACAATGCGAGGAAATCAACATTGCAACATACATAAAAATGACAACTCAACTTAACGTGCCAATAGCCACGTTGATAGTCAAGTCAACATTGCAATATACATAACATTGCATGTTGATGTTGGAACGATAACAGCCAAAATGTTGGAATCGTCAACAACATACATTGCCCAATTCTGACAAACTGTTACTAATCGCGTCTCTTGTTTTGATATTAAATTTTTACAAACCTGTACAAGTTTCCTTTGCCAGCTTTACACTCAGACTTGACAGCTCATCAGAGGTGTCAATCATATATGCATCACGTGGGCTAGTTGACATCTTTTGCAGTACACCCACAGGAGAGTCTTTACCAACACCAATGGMAAATACTTTGATATTATCAGCTTTSAGTGAGTCTGCAGTAGTTTTTATATCTTCACTTATATCGCCATGAACAATAATAATGACTACCTTAGGAACTCCTTCCCGACTGCTCCCCTTAAGGATTTTAGATGCTTCCTTTAAGGTTTTGGTTATTCGYGTAGRTGTTGCRGGGAAACTATCTTGTTGAATCAAATCGACACGCCGTGAGAGAGATTTCAAATCAACGAGCTCGTTAAGGTCAAAGACTTTGGTAGGCCGACTTGCACTGTGTAGGAGGACGGAGACTCGGGTATGTGTTGTAGAAATTGTGAAGGTGTTTATTATAAAAATAGCAAATTCTTTTTGTTTCTGGAAGTCCTCCTTTGAGACTAGTTCGGAACTGTCTAAAGCAAACACCACATCCATAGGGATTGGACAAGCTGAAAGGGAAGGAATATGTATAACATTATTTCTTTAATACTATTAGGACAAGGACGAAATAATAATACTATTAGGACAAGGACGAAAACAAGGGCAAGGGCAAGGGACAACTTCTCCACCTGCAGGTAACAAGCACACTGGTTCCAACGTAATAACTCCATCCTTTGGCTTGCAGCGTCCACAATATCCTCCACACTTGGCAGAGGCAATGAGACCATCAGATGTCTTATTCAAGTCTTGTATTCTTTGTCTCTTGGGGAATCCTTGGTGAATCCAACTTACAGTGTCCTTCATTCGTAGTCCTGTTCCAGTTAGATCGATCTGAGGCACGTACATAAAATATTTTAACATTAATAATAGAGCCATTACATGTGCTGTCAAATTAGCTTTTTTATTGCTCTCTAGGGGAAACAAATAATGGTGGGAGTTTCAGCCCTGGCGCTTTTTCATGTTCGCTGAAACAGCCCCATTTGAAAATATAGAAGTAGTTGTGCCATATCTATCAAAGAAATGTAAAAAAAAAAGGTTTTATGGATACCCATCATGCTTTGTTGAACAAAATAGTACAGCCTATTGCCTATTGCAGCAGCATAAATCCTGACCCCAGAATACCTTGAAGGAGCCTTTTCTACAGTCAGACTGCACGGAATAACAATCACCAGCTGTTCCATACGCAATTTGCTTTCCAGATGCAGTAGTGGAAAATTTAAAGTCACTGTCATGAATTGACAATGGCTTTAGCAGAAGACGAACTCTTTGGAAGTTAGTGGTTCCACTCTCAGCATAAACTTGSCCTGTYTCGTCTCCATCACAGTCGTAACGCAATTGAAGTCTCTTGTCATAAATGATTGCATAGTTGTTTTGTGGTCCCGAGGGAAGGGTGATGTACTCCTTTGGACTCCCTGTGGACATGTTGTCACAGTAGACTCGGATTGAGTCACGACAACTGTCACTCAGCTGCAGAAGATAGTGCCCATCTTCTTTGAAACCAGCGGCTTGTACATCTGCACAGCTTCGATATTCTAATGAAAACGAAATCATACTATTACAACGGCTGAGTCATCAGTATTTGAATATGAAAAGAAATAACGTGTGTTTACTGGAAAAAATTGTGACAAATATATCCAATCCAAACTGTTCGAAACCCAATATACCAGGAATAAAAAAATAATCTCCAGTTTCATTATTCCTTGTTCATTATTTGAATCATCAAGCAGCATAAAATGTACGAATTTTCTACAACCTTAAATGAGAGCTCAAGGGAGTAGCTAGTTTAACTAGGATATTGATGTTTCCAAGGGTTTAGCTCAATGACGAAAAAGTTACACAAACATACCTCTTGCAATGTGTGATGGGATTTCCTTAGACTTTTCGTTTTCATTGTCTGGTCGGGGTGAAACAATCAAATCGACCCCAGATGCTATTTTATCAAGCTTATTCCGAGGTGGAAGTCCCAGAGCAATGAGAACAACTTTCACAGACATATCACGCAGTTTCTGAACTTCATCTTTGATTTCAGGAGACGATTCATCATAGTCGCCCACTGTCATGACCACTAAGACATCCTGGGCAAGAGGTCGATTTCCATTCATCTTTGAAAACAGTTCTTCACGAGCCTTGTAAAAAGAGAAAAAAGTTAGACTGTTCGCTTGGCTTTGACGAAGGGGTAGCTTTATAAGAAATGAATGGTTTACACAGGTCATATCAAGTCAAAGCAGTTTAGTGCTACCACAAGGGCATGTAAGCTGATCAATGCTTGTCTTTAGAAGTGAAATGTTAAAAATAAACCAAAAAGTAACAAATGATAACAATAAAAACAACAAATTAGGTAAAAAAAGTGTACAAAAAGGAGGAGAGACTTAAGTAATCAAATTAATTTAACAAAACTAACCTTACGCAGCCCTTCAGCTAGTGATCCTTTGGCTCCTTTCGAAAAGGAATTCACCAAGGCCTTAAATGACTGCTTATTGTAATTGCGGCTAAATAAGACTGGAGTAGAGACAGGATCGTTATAGTCYACCAAACCRACRCGGGTTTCCTGTGGTGAAACTGTGTACATATCGACTACTGTGTTAACCATTTCTTTCATGAGGGAGAAGTACCGCTCTGAGTTGATTCCTGATGCACCAATGGCAAAGCCAAGGTCTAGCGTTGTTTCTTGAGAAAAACACAAAGACATTTTCAAGACATTTTGTGTATTGCTAAAAACAATTAATAATAAGGGAGAGTGGTTTAAAAACTGGCACAAAGTATCTATTCACTGTCATTTATGCTTAACTGCATAACAATTCTTCCGAAAGAGGATTATTGTGAAGATATTTCAATTTGTGCGTAAACTCATTTACAATTCAAATAGTTTATGATAAAATGCAACAATGTGATGAGAASGTCACGTCTTACTTACCACATATTCCTTTGTTTTTGACACCGATTTCTTTCTTGTTCATACAAGACTTCATTCTTARATGGCATTCGTTCATGTACATGTTGCCATCTTTACCACAAACATAACTCACTTCACTAGGACATGATGTGTCACACTCACAAGCGTATGTGTCATCCGCTTTTGTGACGCATTTAGCGTGGAATTGACACTGGAYATTTTTACATGGATCTAGAAATTTAACATTTKRTCATCATCGTTGCTATCGTAATYAGTRATCATCATCATCATCATCATAACCTGGATCACATTGGCATGAAGTGGAATCAGGCRTAGCTTGTACAGMCAATTAAGAGCCCTTACGASCTTTCTTTTATGTTTGGAAATAAAAATACATCATYAYATAAGCGCACACCTACTCTTACATTTTTCATGCTGTGAATCGAAATTTTGTAAGATTCAATCATAGGACCAAAGGATTRCAAACAGATATTTCAAGTCAACTTATATGAAAAATTGGATGCATGCTAGCAATGCCTTTTAACTACAAAGCTATAATATCATAGTTGAGTTGAAGGTTGTACGTGCTTAGATAGATAGGCATTAATAATCATCATTAATTATTATTATCATTAATTCTTAATTGATCATTAATCACATGTACTCACTGCAGATGCCTTTGCGTTTGATAGCAATCTTTTTCTTTTCCATACAAGCCGTTTTACGGAGAAAGCATTTGTTAAGATAATCTTTGCCATCGCTACCACAAACAGGGTTATATCGAAGACGGCAAGAATAAGGGCAAATGCAATGCGTTGAGCCATCAGCTCGCATATGGCACCGACCGTGATAAGGACAAGAAACCTTGGAGCACGGAGATATAGCTGAAGTAAGATGAGATATAGGAAAGAGACTGTAAAGATCTAGTATTTGCGAACATTTCTGCTCTGTACAAGGCACAGCTGGATTTTTGGCAATATTTCCACATATCGTCGATGATGATGTGGTTGGTGCCTTTTCAATTGGCATGGTGAAAAAAGGCGAGACTTACAGTTAGCACTAGAGAGTTAAACAGGGCGACAGAAAGACATTATAATGAAGAAAAAAGCTGAACATGGTTGTAATCCATGAATAATGAAGGAGCACCAACTTGACAAAGTAATTTTGCAAGAAAATCTATTAGTTCACCACTTCAATTAGGATCAGGTGAGCTCACAAAGGTAAGGCAATGTATTACAATGTACATGACATTACATTATCGTGAGAAATGTCCCAAATGTGCCTTTGACATAATATATACAGATAGCCTTGCATAGAGGTTCACCAYCCTAAGATGACTAGTTACCAMATAAATGAAAACAAGAAAAGACAAAGAAACTCACAGCAGAATCCYTTCCACTTGACAGTGATGGCCAAGTGTAGTTTACAGGCATCTCTAGTCATGTGACATAGATTCCAATACGTCTTGTAATTACTACCACACACAGGATTGAGAGAMACTGGACATGAGTGGGAGCAGTCCAAGATGGCTGAGAGGTGTTAGTTTAAGAAACGAATATGATTGATTAGATAAGTCAATTTTTGAAAAAAAGATGAAGATTAAAAAGACATATGGATAAATAAAGATAAAAATATAAGATTGATAATTCATTCAATTAATAAGCATAATAATCAACCAACCAACCMACCAAYCMACMMMCMAMMCMAWYMATYAAYCAACCAACCAACACTCAATCAATTGACAACMCTACCTTTTAGTACTTTTTCCATGATCTTCTCTGCAGTATCCTTCGGATCTTTAACTAATGGCTTATCAATGACATTATTTGGGTTAGATGTCAGYTTAGTCAACTGATCGCGGTCTGCAGTTGGCCCCAAAACAAYTGGAATAACCTTAATMCCACTCATCTCCAGTTCCTTGGCCGCTCGGATGATGTCATCCATGTTTTCTGCAGTAGACCTGTCAACCATAACAACTAGAACACGTCTTTTTAAAGGATCTGAGAACATCTTCCCAGCTGATATCAAAGCTTTTTCAATGTTTGGCTGTCCAGTAGAGGATGGGATGACTGTGATGTATCGAAGAAGGGTTTCTAGTGAGCCAAAGTCGTGAGTAAATTGAATTTGTGGGTTTGGTCGATTTGCAAACTCWATGAATCCRTATCGAATGCGGTTTAGACGRTATTTKGTTATGATAATCTTGATTGCRTCGATCATGTGTTTGTAGATRAGACTTGCTTGGACTCCGGTRGCGGAAACAGCAAATGCCAAGTCTGTTGGTCTTTTGATYAGCACTRTAGCAARGTATAAACAGATCAGCATCAGTTATGAAAACATGTATATTTTTATGTACACTTGATTATTACCTAGCTTTCATTTCTTTCGTGAAATCATTCTCATTCATTCAAATTTAATTTCATATTTTTTATTTCTGCCATTCTTCCTTATTACTTTTGTTTCCTTCTTTCTTTATCCCGTTTCTCCCCTCACTTTACTCCCTTCATGTTCCCTTTCAACACTTCTTATTCCATTTCCTTACATTCTGATTCCGTACACAGCTGTCTGGCCATAGWAGGTGCAAARGGTACCAGSTCTGAGAAAGATGGCACACCATTGTGGTAATCAACCTGAGAGACAGCTTTCTTCAGCTGAGGTGAACTGACTTGAGAACCAACACCAACAGAAAACACTTTAATTTTCTTGTCTTTCAGCGTTTTTCCAGCAAGTGCAACATCTGACGTTGATGGGTCTTCCTTGTCAGTTATGAAAACAATAGCCTGGAAAACAAAGATGGTACAGTTGCTGATGAAAAAAGCTTTTTGGGATGATTCACACTGTAGCGTAAGCCGGGATTTACACTTAATTAACAAGGTCGACATCTTACATTTCGTACTATAATGCAAGAGCAGGCACCCCAGCACCCCTAATAATGAGCTGCTCATAGTAATTGTAAATTTAAACCAGCCTCAAAATGCACAGTCATGTAAAATTATCAACCTAGTATCTTCAATTCACTGTACCTTAACAGCGTCTCTTTTGACCCCATCAAGTAGTTCACCAGCCTTCAGTAAAGCTTTGCTGTATTTCTCGCCAATCAGGAACTTCTCTTGCAMTCCATCAATAGCATCACTTACTTGTTTTTTAMTGAGCTTTTCGTCAAAGGCCATGTCGACATAGTTCATGTTATCATAGGAAATGATGGCCAACTGAAGACTATCTTTTCCAACATTGAACTCTTCTACAACTGCTTTCATGAATAGTTTCTTTTCCTGGAAATTACCTCGTCCAATCACAAAAACCAGGGAGAGGGGATGGGTACAGGCTGGTAAGCAATAAAAATGCAAGCGCATTTTAATAGAGTCCCTTTGCAACAACATGAACAGTAACAATAATGCAATCAAATAATTTCAAAGTTGGTGTCAAAGAGATTTAAATGAGAGAATCTAGTGGTCGCCGAGTGATCAATTCAATAGAAAGTCGTAGCTTTCTTGGGAATGACATTGTTAATAGGAATATCTGTTCAAACAAATATATCCCACTAGTTATACAGAAAGAATTATAAACACCAAGTTAATAAAAAAATATTTTTTGAGCCTACCTGCACATGCTCCATTCTTTAATACACCAATGTCTGTCTTTGAAGTGCAAGCGGCTACCATACGTGTGCAGTTGTTGGTATATGTCCTTTTATCTGACCCACAAACAGGCTTATAGTCATTTTTACATCCCGAGGGACATTCGCATGTCACTGCATTGTCAGCTGTCTTAACACACTGAGAGAAAAACTGGCAAACCTTCTTGAGACATGGATCCTGGAGAACTGCAAAACAAACAAACCTTTCATGAGTTAATTGAAAGCTGTTGTGGCGATTCCTTATTTTTTTCATAACTTTCTTGCGTGGCTTCAATTCTTCTTTATATATACGTTAGGGAAATCTAAAAAAATATATAAATATCAAACCTTTGTAGACTAAATCCATTATCATCTTGCCAAGTCGCTCCGTTCTTTCTTGGGTTGCAGTTACAACAATATTCTTTTTGTCTTTATCAGAAGCAATTGATACAACATCAGATGTACTGACTTCATCTCCAATCAAAACTGGAACGATTTTGATCTTATCACGTTTATACTCATCAACCACACGTTGYARGTCTTCTTTGGAGCTCACTGAGAACTTATCAATCAAGACTACCACGACTTTTTGTGCATCAACACGATGTCCCTTTAAGATATTAAACTGYTGTTTTGCTTTTGATAGTGCTTCATGGAGATTWGGATCYCCAGTTGGTTKGGTGTAYCGTAGGTTATTGACAAAGTTTGCAGTGTTAAACTTCGATCCAAACTTTGTACTGAATTTAAGMCGTAAGTCTTGSAGAYTGTCGAAAGTAATAAGACTATATCGTAGCTTTTTGATGCCATATTCCATGATTATTGACTGGATGGCTTGGTTCATTGCGGTATAAGTATTCAAGGAATCTCTGCTGGTTGAGCTTAAAGCAAATACCACGTCGACCTTGGAAATACGGTGAACATCTGAAATATCATTGATTTGTCTTTTAATAGTTTAATGAAATGATAATGTGAATATCATTAAATAATTGTTATCATCGTCATTAATGGCATTATCTTATCATTGCATGGCTTTTCCAGATTGTCCAGGAATCGTGAAAACCCTGGACACGATTCCTGACTACTGGCTACTCACCACTAGTTACATTCTTCATGATGACGTTTGCAATCTTCTTTGCACGATCTTCTCTGTCGATTACAATTACATCYTCACCAGTAACATCTTGGTTGAGATCTCTGAATGCATCATWGCCAATAGCAACAGGTATAACAATGATCCCTTKMCCAGTCAGCAAACTCATCTGCTGTTGAATRGCTTTCTTATCAGTACCAGTMTTTGCGTCTGTGATGACGACGAGTATACTTCGTACATCTTTTCGTGAAGATCCGTCAAAGAGCCTTTTTGCCTCTGCAAGACCTTTGCTTAGCATTGGCTGCCCAGAAACAGGGGCAACTGATAGAATGATTTTCCTTAGGGTAAATTCGTTAGGAACGCGGTCACGTAGCTGTAGGAATGATGACCCAGTAGCACCATATACAACAATACCATAATTTATTTCATTCATTCCATATTTGGCGATAATGAATGTCATTACTTCACGTATTATTCGGAAGGTTGAGATGGAAGTTGGAGTCCCTTGTTGCACACTAATTAAGAATACCAGGTCTGTCCTAGGTACCTTTGGCTGATCTGGAATATGAAATAAATAATAGTATGGAAAAAMRTCTTGCATGCGTTCGTTCATTCAGTATTCCTTTTTCCCGTTCAAACCATACAAGAAATTAGCGAAACAATTAGCTAAAGAGAAGATATGAGAAAAGACTTTGTGAAAKAGATGGATACATGGAAGGATGGAAGACAAATAATCTCCTTTTAATTCCTTTTGTGACCATTACCTTTAATGACTATTTTCATGATTCTGTCAGAAAGTTCCTTTGGTTCACTATTCTTATTTGCCTTCACAACTACATCTTTATAAGGAGAGATCATCTTCATCCCTATCTCACTAGCAAGYGTTCCTACAGMAACTGGTACAACCTTAACACCATCAAGTTCAAGTCCACGTGCAGCATTTTTCACAACTTCAGGTACTTTTCCTGGAAACATGTCAGTTAAAAGAACAACTACTTTCTTTGCATCTGGACGTGCAGAGCGCTTGAAGAGGTTTATGGCTGAGTTGAGAGCCACTTCATGTGCAGGCTGACCTACTGGCTGTAATATACGATCAATTAAAAGTTTGAAGTCGCTTCTTGTGGATAACTGGTTATTGAAATTAAGTTGTACAGTTGATTCATCGTCATAGGTTATGATAAGATATCTGAAAATACAAAGATTCAGTGATTAAATACAGAATTTCCATGTGTCCATTTGTAGAATTATTTATGTCATTCCATAAATAATGATTTCCGATCAGAGCGAAAATGTTTACTCAATTCTCTCACAGGAAGTCAGTTTCTTACCTGATTTGAGCTCCTTTATATTTGGTGATGATATTCAACATCGTATCCTTCATTAATTGAAATGTTGAATCTGAACCAGATGCTGAAGCGCTCACTAGAAATCCTACATCAATCTTTGGTACCACAATGGAATCTAGACAAAAAGGCGGAAAGGGTGAGTAGAATCCACAGCATTAATGTTTAATTAGCATATAAAACAGTATAATCTTCTAACCATTCACAGCTCGTTCTATTATTTTATCAGGCAGCCCATCCACAGTTTTTGGTTCAATCAGATCATCAACGTTTGGAGTCAAAACCTTCAATTCCGYGCGGTCAATCTCATCTCCAAGGGCTACCACGACAATGCGAATTCCCTTTTCTATTATTGGGTTTACAGCCTCCTTAACCTCATCCAGTGTACTGTCAGATTCTTTATCGACAATGAGAACCAAGACCTTAGTTGACTTGGGACGGACACCCTCAGCTTCAGTGAAAAGCTCGGCAGATTTTTCAAGAGCCAACTGTAGATTTGCACCTCCTATCAATCAGACAAAGAATCAAGCAATAAATCAACAAATCATATRGTCAGTCAGTGAATGAAAASTATACCAGTTGGTTTTGGTAAAGCCTCGATGAGCTGTTCCARTCGYTCTCTTTGATATCCTTCTCTRAATCGTGARTGAACCACWGGTGGATTTCCAAATGTTACCAAACTGTAGTGAATCCTGTCTACGCCAAATTTACCAATAATTTTCTTGATAGTGTCTTTGGCTGTCCTGAAGTTGCTGTCAGATGCTAATGCTGCAGCACCAATAGTAAAAACCATGTCCAACTCAGGAACAATTGGCTTAGCTGGGTAGAAAATAGGGATAACGTGAACAATTTAGTGGGAAATGAGTGGGTGTGGTAGATGAAATGAGTGGAGTGGTAGATCTCCAATAAGTCCTTTAGAATTCTATGAACTCATTTTAGCTAATCATTAATAAATCATTTACTTATAAATACCTGTCAACACTTTGTTCATAATTTTCTCGGCAGACTCCCCAGGCTTGTCAGTAGGTCTGACTGGAATCAGATTGTCGTTATATGGTGTAATCAACAACAGCTCTCGAGCATTGGCATCTGYTCCCAGWGCAACGGGGATAACATGTATTCCTGCACGCTCCAGTGGGGCAACKTTTGCTTTTAACTGCTGTTCTGTGCTGTCTGAGGTTTTATCAATGATAATGACGAGTATCTAGAACATATTAAGAAATATTGAGAACTCACTCCATGATAATTGCGATGTTAATGTAAAGCTTTAGTCAGTGGTTAAAACACCACCTCTTMAAGTAACTTGGGAGTCCCAGTCCCATTTAAAATAMAATTTTGAACCATTGAAAGTTCAGTTATAAAAGAAAAGAAAATTCATTGCTYAACTKCACCTTSTTGGCYTGAGGTCTTGTACTTCCATCGAAAGCATTCTTAGCCTCAACCAAAACCTTATCCAAKGCAGCCCCACTAGGTTTACCCGAAGCATCTACGAATTTCTTTAAGTCCTCCTCGCTATTGAAAGACTCTGCCAAACGTATCTTSGTCTCAGGAACGGAACCAAACGTGATCAACCCGTATGATACCCGCATCATTCCGTACTTGTCAATCACTTTCTTGATRATGTCCTTCATCTGCTGGTAGTTTTTGGTTGACTGAGCAGAMGTTGCACTGATGGCAAAGATGAGGTCTATTTCTGGAGTTATAGGATTGTCTGGTGATATTAAGAGATAAAAAATATACAGTAATGTTCTTGCTTAAATTAAAATGGCTAATCAGGTCAGGTAAATAAATTGCACAGTGAAACAGAAATTGATGGATATAGGCATATGAAATTGTTAGATAGATGGAAGGTAAAAGTAGATGTAAAGAARACAGTATAGATGGATGGGTTTACAARTGAATGAAWAGATGGATGGTTTGAACGAACRATGAGATGAATGAATGGGAAAGAGACTACTAGTGAATGAAGAGATGAATGGATGAATAAGTGAATGGAAAGGRGAAAAATAGGTGTGTGGATGAAACACCAGGACGGTGATGATGATAACGTCAATGGCARYGGCAAGGATGATTYTTATAAGCAAGCAATCAAAGGAAATAATTACAATACGTACATTGATTAGTGAAGCAGAACCTAATTTATTTCTTACCTTTGATGACTTTTTTAATCACCATTTCTCCAAGAGTCTCTGGMGTRTGTATATCSGTCCGTSMAATGACATTGTTCTTGTTTGAAGCTATCTGCTGCAATTCCTTTTCATGAGCAGCTGGAGGAACTRTGACTGAAATTATCTTGAYATTATTTTCYTCTAGAGGCATCACAGCCTTGCTAAGCTCTTCTGGTGTGTTCAATGATCTTTCATCCATAATTATGACAAGRAACTTTTTCGAWTCTCCACGAGCTGCTGCACCGCGATCAAACATCTGCTTTGCAAGGATCAGTGCTTCTGTTATGTTTGGTTTTCCACTCTTTATTTGGAATCCACTCAAATCAAACTAGCAATATGAATAACACAATTATTCACAACATTTCACATAAAGAAAGCTGTTGAAACATCTCACATCATCATCTTTGTGGTGATCACTCCCATAACATTATAACACCTTGATAAAAAAATCAACAAACCTGGTCTAATTGAGACTTCAACGAGTCAATGTCCGTAAATGCTCCAAAGTTAACCATACTTTTAGCTTCGGAGCCGAAGAAGAGGAGTCCGTAGCGTATTTTTGCAAGTCCATATGTATCTATGATGTACTTGACTGTTGCTAKTATCTTGTTAAAGGTTTTTTGGGCAYCATATTTYGTTGTACTTATTGCAAAGGCTATGTCAACGCGCGGTATAACCTTCGATTCTGAGAGAAAAAAAATATTAGTCTTTGTTTGTACCTGAGTTTATTCAGTTGCTCATTATATTTCATATAAGTTATGCATAAAAATCAACAAAAATACATAAACACACATAAACAATCAATAAAAAAAACAACAAGAAAATGATCTTCCAACCAACCATCATGCAGTCTTTCTTGGATTGTTTTTGAAATCTCCGAGGGCTTCTCTGAAGGCTTTGGCTTTACAACATCTTTCTTATTGGCTGCTATCTTCTCAAGCTTTAAAGGATCAACATCTTTRCCCAATGCGACTGTAATGACTCTTATWCCTTGTCTTTCAAGAGGTCCAACAGCTGTTCGTATCTGCAAAGTAGTACAAYTCRMATTTCCATTYCATTACTWAACACAACTGGGWTTTGTATTGATCCCAATGAATCCTTTTACCAACGAATTCTTAAACAATCAAGTGCGACATATGTAGACTATTTATACAAGCACTGCTTAAATATGGTATACCTGCGCTTCAGTGCCATCTGCATCCTTATCTGTTATGAGAACTAATACTGAACCAGCTTCAGGCCTTGCTCCTGAACTTGCGGTGAATAGATCTGGAACTTTCTTTAGAGCATCAGGCAGGTTGGATTGACCAGATGTCTGCGGTGCAACCTGGATAAGTCTCTCGAGTTGATTAACATCTGAAAATCTAAATATGAATTGAAGTAACAACATTTCAATATAAAGAAACCTCACTCATGGTGAACAAGTAAGTACATACAATAATTCATTCAGAACATTTTACTGTTGCTAGTCATTTCCCGTTTCGATGACTCTACAATAGTTAAGGGATGAATTCCCAGTCCTTGACTGATTCCACAGGGCAAATGCTACCATTCTTACCTGTAATTGAATTTAAAATGTACCATTGGTCGAGTGCCATATGACATATAGCTGTATAGTACTCTGCCGTATCCAAGTGAGTCCACAATGTTCTCTACAATGTCTTTCATTTGTTTATAACTGGTAGTGGAGTCAACTGAMGTTGCACTGATGGCAAAGGCCACATCAAGCAGCGGGATGTTTGGGTTGTCTGCAAATCAAGATAACAATGTTGAATCCTGATATAAATATCAATTAAACAGCAATTTATCATATTTATACATTACTACTTAAATTCATATTTTTGGAGATAATTACTTTCAAGGAGCTTSTCAATAATCTTGTCAGCAGTCTTCTCTGGATTCTCATCATCTTTTGTTTCCACCAAATTMTTCTTATTACTAGTCAACATTCCCATCTCTCTTGGATTAGCTTCACTTCCAAATACAACGGGGATGACCTGGACACCAACATCTTGCAATCCCTCAGCAGCCATCTTGATATCGTTTTCATTCCTACCAGATTTTTTATCAGCGATGACAACTGCAACTTGTCTAACATCTTTACCTGATTCTTGWACAAAAATCTTCTTTGTTTCTGCTAARGCAGCATCCAGGTTGGATCCATCTAGTTTTTTAATTTTTTCAATGAAGTTTTGCAGACGTTTATCTTCGAAAGACTGATAGARATGAAGCTACGGAAAAAAACATCAAATATGATATTTATGATGTTCAATTACACTAAAGCTGCAAAATAATATAACAAATAACACCATTTCCATTCGTACCTCAACCTTCGGTGTCCTCCCATGGACTACAACACTATACTTGAATCTTAAACTACCATATTTGGCAATGATACTATTGATGACGTCCTTYATTTTCTTGAAATTCTCATCTGATTTGGTGGCAGTAGCACTAAGAACAAAGGCAAGGTCTGTCTTGGGGATGGGAGGGTAGTCTGAAAYGATTCAAGAGAATACGTTAGTGCTGCTTTTCGTGGGCAACTTGCTTGCAATAGGAAAGTTTTTTCAAGGGTCACTTGTTTGTCATTGGTGTGAAGTGTTTGCAAGCAAGGGCAGATTGTTTGTCACAGGCAAATTGTTATTAGTTACCTACTGTTCACTGCCGTTTCGCTATAAACAACTGAACACTTGGACAACTGTCTTTTCACACATGATTGCTGCTTTTACCATAATTATTCAAGAAATATAAAGCTTACTAGTTACAACTGTTTCTAGCCTTATAACCTTCTAGCGTGTTTCATATATGTTTTTTAATATGTCTTTTACCTTTGATCACAACTTCCATAATTCTATCGCCAAGTTCTTTGGGTTTTTTGATGTTTTTAGCATCGATGAAGTTTTGCTTGTTAGTGGTTGAAAGTAGTAWTTCATCATCTGACTCTAAACCCAAAGCCACTGGAATGACCGTTATTGAATCATCCACCAATACTTGTGCATTTGCCTTTAAAAAAATGAAACACATAAAACAAGCAAATATATAAGAATAGAACACGATTCCTCCGTCTACTATTTTATCCATCCATTCATTTGTTCAGTCATCAATTCATTCATWTATTTTTTCRTGCATTCAWGCATTCATAAACACTTCTTYTAAAACACACCGTTATGWCTTCAGGAAAGCTATCCGAGACAAAATCTGCTATCACAACCAGGACTTTCTTAGCTGTGGGTCTTGCATTAATGAACATTTTCTTGGCTTCTTCCAATGCCAAATGGAGTTCCGCTCCTCTATCATTCTTACGAACTGTATCAAGATAKCTACTGACATCTTCTGGTGAAACAGACGCTGTTCTGAATGGTATCCTTACACTTGCTTTGAGACCAAACACAATTAGTGCATATCGGATTTTATCCGTGCCGTACTTTTTGCTAATTTCCCTGATGGTATCTTTCATTATTTCGAAATTCTTGGCTGAATCCGAGGCTCTGGCATTGATAACAAAACCAAGATCAATTTCAGGAACTCTAGGTTTCTCTGTAAAAAGAAAGGAATCATATTACTGAAAGATCAATTTGACAATGAACATTGGAAAGTCGCAAAATGGCTGTATCCAGTTGCAGCTTCTACTACAACCTCAAGCTGCAGTAGTGAGAAAAGGAAAGAGCGTCATTTTGAACGAGAAATCATAATAAACGTACGGTTTGCAATTTTCTTCAGAATCTTGTCCAAGATAACCTCTGGTTTCTCGCCCTTCTTTGCAGGWATAACATTATCAGGACCAGTAGTTATGATTTCCAGATCTGTGGGATCGGACTGACKTCCAAAGGAGACTGGTATAACTAGAATTCCCTCTTTGTCCAGCATTTCACCAAGATTCTTGAGCACTTTTTGGTCACTGGAATATTTTTTGTCCATTATAACTACTATAACCTGTGAAAAAAAACTTAATTTCATTGATTGTAATTTTTACCAGTTTTATTACTATGTATTCAAACTGTAATTGAAAGAAAAATGGCTCATCTTATGACATCAAATATACACTCAAAGTACTTAGGAAGCAATGATTTAGAAGAGCTTTTAAAGTCGTCACTTTAATCGGTGGAAAGCGATAGCGTTTTTAACATTCATAAGCAGTCTTAAAAGATAAAATATTAGCTCATACTGCACCTTCTTTGCATTTGGTCTACCATCTTTCTCGAGCACCATTTTTGCCTTTTCCAGAGACTTATCCAAAGCCCTACCACTACTGGAACGTGGGATGTTTGCTACAAACATCTTGAACGCTTCATCAGTTGGGAATTTCGATGTAAATTGTAGCTGAACATTGGGTGTGTTACCAAATACTATGACATTGTATCGTAGCCGATCCGTACCATACTGATCAGCAGCTTCTTGGACAATTTCCTTCATGGTTTTAAAGTTTGAATTGGCATCAATGGATGTGGCACTAATCACAAAGCTGATGTCCATTTCTGGTATGGCTGGGATTTCTGGAAATCAATTGTCATGTAAGCTTGCAGACATTGTTATGTCCACCATTGTACCTTTTGACAGTGRCAACATTTTTAATCACACAAAATKACTTTTCAGGCAACACTTCGTGCACATAGTGACAATTAGCCCTGCTGYGGACGCTCTAATATCAACCACAACATMCTACATCACTTACAACTTTCTTGCTTTAATATTACTAACACATACGTTTAAGTATCCTGTCCATAATCTTTTGACCAAGATTGTCTGGTTTTTCATCTTTGGGGACTTCTATGAGATTCTGTTTATTTGAAGTAGTTTTCTCRAGCTCGTCTTGATTTGCATCGGTTCCTACAGCTACAGGAATCACTCTAATACCACTTTTCTCTAAGGGCTTGGCCTTGTCCTTAACTCCATCAGGGGAGTTTGATGATTTCTTGTCTATGATAATAACCAACACCTAAGAAAAAGCAATATTGACATTGTCTCAATATCAATTTTGGACTATAATTGCCATAAACAATATCATAGACAATAAATTACCTTTTGATATTTTGTTTATGATATATGGAAAGTGTATGAAAATTAAAACGCGAACATGACCAAATTTACCTTCTTAGAGTTTGGTCTTGATGGAGCAAGCTGGAAGACAGTCTTTGCCTCGGCAAGTGCTCTTTCTAAGTCAGGTGTTCCAAGAGAGCGAATTAAACCTGAAAGTTTCTCTTTTAAGCTGTCTGAGTTGGGGAAATATTGACCAAAGTCAATGTGWGTAGTAGTGGATGAACCAAATATGATGACAGCATAGCGCAGACGATTAGTACCATATTTGTTTACAATGTAGCCAACAGCATCTCTCATTAGTTCAAAGGTTTTATCAGCATCAATTGCATCAGCACTGATGGCAAAKCCAAGGTCAATGGCAGGAATTGCTGCAGTTTCTGTTAAAAAGGAACAAAAAAAGATAACAACAGTTGGAAATACGTTAATTGAAAAGCAACTCAAATTGCATTAACGCATTTAGGGAGTCTGTATTGGACAGATGGCGAGTTACCTCATCGTCATTATCATAATCATCGTCATCATTAGCGTCGTCCACAATGTGAGATTTGACATTCTTACTAACACAACAGTAAGATTGGAATGTACCTACCGTTGAGTATTCGGTCCATTATCTTCTTGGCAAGAGCTGTTGGTTCCTGTCCATCTCTGGTTGACAAAACATCATCTTTTATTGGTGTAAGAGTACTGACTTCATTGATGTCACCATTGTTACCATAGGCAACAGGAATAACCCGGATGCCATCTCCTTCCAGAACCTTAGCAGCTTCCTTCAGGTTGCTGGACAAACTGTCTGAAGACTTGTCTATCACCACAACAAGGACCTTCCTGGWCTTTGGTCTACCAGARYTGAAAAGAGCTTGSGYTTTTTCWAGWGCTTTGTCAAGATTTAGTTGSCCACGATCCAGTGGAATCTGCTGGATCGCTCTAYTGAGGTCTTCATCAMTTGGGAATCTGGTGTCAAATCTTATACGCACAGAGGGACTATCGCTTATGGTCAGTACAGCATAGTTAAGTTTGTAAGAGCCATACTTGTTGACTATAGACATGATGACATCCTTCATTTCCTKGAAGTTGGAACTGGAGCGTAAGGAGGCAGCACCRAGGGCAAAAGCAATGTCAATCTCGGGAATCTTAACTTGGTCTAGAGAGAATAAGAAAATTATTTAATTGGGAAGGGGWCAACCTATCGCACAGTATCACACACTATCTAYACTTGAACTGGAAGGCATACATCATTTACAGCGCTGAAGAAAAACAATTAAAAGGACTACCTATAACTTATACTTAAATCACAATGAAGGTCCGAGATAGGAATCAAACCACGACTAATGTATTGTCAATCTTCCCTTTAACTAGGGGAACAACAATAGATATCAATAATAATCATTTTTGATATTACCTTTGAGACCATTATCCAAAATCTTTTCTACAACCACAGAAGGACTAATTGTTTTATTAGCATCAATGATATTTTCTTTCCAAGGTGTCAATTTTGACATCTCATCCTTATCAGCCTCTGTTCCTAYAGCTACAGGAATAACTACGATCTCTGCTTCYTCTAAAGACTTCACTTTGACTGAGAGATCACTTGGTTTGCTTGTTGACTAATGAAAAAGGTACAAACACAAATGAGTCTTGAGGGAAAGGCTTGTACAAATACACAAGATTGTTTGATGGATAAATCAAAAGCCCTATAATCTTTTACGGCAGGATAAATGGTACTGTGACAGTACACTGGAATGAAGAAAGCGTTCAGATTGATTCTATGTGGCCAAAGGTTTAAAAAAAATTGCGTCCTTCAGAAGCAGGAATCCTGATAGTAAGAAACTAAGAACAAATGTAATCATATACAGAAATCTACCTTTTTGTCCATCATGACAACTAGAATTCTCTTAGCATTTGGCCTTCCTTCATTATCGTAGAGATCCTTTGCTACTTTTAATGCTTTATCCAATGCTCCACCTTGTGGTCTGGGGACTAGTCCTAAGGCAATACGCAAATCTCTATCGGTGGGCCGAGTAGTCGTGAACCTGCAATAGGAATTTCAATTCAATATGCAACACAGTCACTCATGGTGCTCTTTATATTCATTTATTCATTCAGACCAATAACATCATGTGGTAGTCAAGGACCTACCTGTTTTGAATGACAGGAGTCTCGCCAAACACAATCATACTGTAACGTATAGTCTTTGTGCCATATTTCAGGACCATGCGGGTGATAATGTCTTTCATTTGCTGAAAGTTCTCAGGTGCAGCAGCTGCAGTTGCGCTGATTATGAAACTCATATCTATTTCTGGCAAAGTTCTCTTGTCTACAAAGAGAGCAGAAGTATATATATATGGAATGAGACAAAAAACGATGGTTGAAAAAGGAGGAATTAGGAGAAAAGGAAATTGAGGAGGGATCAAGGGAAGGAGGAGATAAGGCATGGCAGAAAAAAGATCACTTAAAACCTCACCATATATAGCTTTGTTCATGATTCTGTTTGCCAGATCTGTTGGTTTTTCAGTTCTGTTAGTTTTCAGTGTGTTTCCTTTGTTTGGTGTTAGGCTCATCATCTCATCTGGATCAGCATCTTTTCCAACAACAACTGGAATTACCTTAAAATCATTGTTTACAGAAAATCAGACTTTTCCATATAATTTACCTTATATAGATAAATTGTAAATAAGTGCAGAAGATATGGATAGCTCACAGAAATACTGTGAGCAGTCTTAGTGTAGTTAATTATGACTAAGTGTCRCTAAGGTCTGATGAGCCTACTGGTGCAATGAGTCTAGATGATATTGATGATGTCACTAGGCATTACAAGTACATGTATGACGAAGTATGAAACATAGATCGTGTRCAATAAATAAATTTGAATAACATAARGRCTCGTCTATGCCTCAAGRTCCAAAGTGGTTTCAACCTAACCTTTATGCCCTGGTCATGCAAAGGACGTGAAACAATCTTCAATTCTTCCAGTCCATTAATAGACTTATTATCAACAATCACAACCAAGACTTTCTTTGCATTAGGACGAGGAGGYGCATCCTCAAATAGTTTCTTTGCTTTATTCAGTGCTTTTCCTATATCAGGGTCACCAGTGGTGCGTCTGACATTATCAAGATATCTMATGAGATCCTTGTCCGGATAGGTTTCAGTAAAAAGAATCTTGCTTGATGTGGATGAGCCAAATACKAGGAGAGCATATCGAATTTTGTTGGTGCCATACATATCAATCACTTTCTTGACTGTCTCGCGGATGCGAGCAAAGGTGGCGTCTGCATTAGCTGCGGTGGTGCTGATAGCAAATGCAAGGTCAATTTCTGGGATGGATTCAGCTGTGAATAGAATTGCATTGGTTAATTTCAACMAAATGAATGAATAAGAGAATAAATGAAAAAGAAAACCAATGGAGGGGKTAATGCTTGAATTTGTAAATGAATGAGTTAATGCGCAAATGAAAGAAACAAAGCAGGAAACATGKAATGGATGGATACACTTTATCACAATATCTGTCTAGATAACAGACAMTCTCCATCAGCCATTTGGTGTAGATATACGTAAATGAGAAATGAGAAATAAATGAATAAATGAAACAGTGAACAAATGAATGAAGAGACCTATCGCAGATCATCACACAAAGAATAAGCTTTACCAAGTGCTCTTTGCATGATTTTATCTGCAATCTTTTTGGGATTGTCTGTTTCTCTYGAAGGTAAAACATCTTTCTTTGTTRATGTTATCTTTTCCAGTTGTTTTGAATCTGCCTGAATTCCAAGTGGGACAGCAATGATTCGTATGCCATCTTCTTGCAACAGYTCTGTCATGTCCATGATKTTAGCTTCCTTGCTGGCTGAGGGATAATCGTTGATGATAACAAGAACCTTTTTGGCGTATGGACGGGCGCCATATAAGGGGTCAAATAAATCACGTGCATCCTTAAAAGAAAGTAAATGAACGCTAAAATATCAAAACAATGTTCTGAACTGTTTYTTAGCCTTTGATAGTGCTTTGTATTSTAATTAACAAGTGCTTTYAACCAATTGAAATCATAATCCACCAACTTCMTTTCCATGCTAAGGAATTCCCATAATTACCCTATAAATTATCCTATTTTCATATGCCACGATTTTGATATAAAAATTTCCTAACATAGAAACTACAATAAAACATTATTAGTACTTGCTTAGTGAGGACCTAACGAACAAATCTTCAAATGATCACAACATGCATATAAGCTTTATAATACATACCTCTAGAACTTTATCTAAAGCTGACCCAAAGTTATTCTGTTGGATCCCAGATATGAACCTCTTTAGATCCTCATCACCAGGGAATGTCTTACTAAATTTCATTATCCTCTTGGAAGTATCCCCAAAGGTTAAGATGCCGTAATGGATGCGATTAGAGCCATATTCATCGATAAGAGCGTTAATGACTCTCTTCATCTTGCGGAAGTTTGAGCTTGATCTAACTGCTATAGCACTGATTGCAAATGCCATGTCTATATCTGGCATTTTAGTCCTCTCTATAGAATTAATTCAATTCAATTCAATTCAATTCAATTCAATTCAATCAATCAATCAATCAATCCAACAAAACAATGAAACGCACACATGACAGATACAAGAGTGGAATAGGGAGGGTAAAGAAAAATAATACAAACCAGCTATAGCCTTTTCTATGATTTCCCTTCCTACATCTTTAGGGTGATCATCCTTGTCCGCTTCAACAACATTTGGTTTATGAGATGTGGTTTTTGTAAGCTCATTCTTGTCAGCTTGTCGGCCAAAAACTACCGGAATGACACGAATGCCAGTTTTTTCAACGGATCTATGAGGCAAATTGAAAGTTTCAAAAGAACTTTAACGCTTTAATGTCATGATGATCAGCWATAAAGTTCTAAAAGTATTTGAAAACTGACTGTTTTTGAAGACATTTCATGGGTTATTTTTCTTTATATAATCAAAGTCTCTAACATACCGTGCAGCCGACTCCACATCAGTAATAATAGAGTCTGATTGCTTATCCATGAMAACAACCAAAACTTTCTTTGCTTTTGGATCTGGATTGTCGTCAAAGAGCTTTCTCCCTTCCTTTAGAGCAAGATCTAACCGAGCGCCACGCGACCGAGGAAATCCMTCAAGAAGATTCTTCAGTGTACTGGCTGTTACGTAATTCTTTGAAAAGCGCAGCTTCACTAATGGTCGATCACCRAATATAACCACTGCATGACGTACTTTGGAGGTGCCATATTCGTCTATAATTGACTTAATGATCTCTTGGTATCTCTGGAAGTTTCGGTCAGCATCAAAAGAATTTGCACTGAGAGCAAAGACAAGGTCGAGTCTCGGGATGATWGGAAGATCTGTAAAAGRAAATGAAATTTGAATGAAAGAAASCTTTGAAATTTTAACAAGATTTGTAAGCATATATTAYGTWTGTTAACWATTTKTTACCTAGACACCCTTTTTGTAAGTGGGGAACAGGATGCACAATATATATAGGGAGAGATTAGGAAAATGCTCCAATATTTGCCACAATCTTCATAAAAGACTTACCAACGTTAATTTTTTTCAGTATTTCTTTGGAAAGTTCGCCWGGAGTTTCAGCTGCTGTACCATTCACTATGTAACCTTTATTTGTAGTTGGCTCTTCTACCTCTCTCGGGTCAGCATCTTTGCCCATTACAACTGGCACTACCTTAACCATATCCTGCTGTAGAGTATGCGCTGCAGTCCTTATTCCATCAATACTATGGGATAGATTACATTGGCAATCAATCAATCAATCGATCAGTTCATCAAAAGAATTCACCAGAAAAATCGTCCAATCATCTCTTCAACACTCATMATTACCTGCTAACAGACTTTTTATTCAAAACGACAACAAGGACCTTCTTTGCATTTGGTCTAGCTTTRTCAAACACCCTATCAGCTTGCACTAGAGCACCACTTAGGTCAGGATCTCCTTGAGGTTGCCGTAGAGTCTTTATATACTCCTTAAGGGAGTCCAGATCATCAGAGTGTTCTCCAAAGTTTAAGAGAATGCGAGCCTTTGTTCCAAAGTCAATTACAGCATATCGAACTGTTTCTTTTCCATACTTRTCAATTATAGAACCAATGGCTTCTTTTATTTGGTTGAATGTTGAGTCAGAATCGGAAGTGGTTACAAAACTCAAAGCAAACGCTAGGTCAAGTACAGCTACCGGGTCTAGATAAAAATATATATGACGGTAAACAACACAATAGATTACATCATCRATTTCAGTGATTTTCAAGTTACTAAGTAATTTTAAAAATGATACCTTTATCGGTTTTCTTGATAATTTCTCTACTGATCTTAATTGCGGAGTCTGTCTTGTTTCCAGGAATAACATCCGTTTTAACAGGTGTGGTTACATTCAATTCTTTATCGTTGTCATGTCCTCCAAGAGAAACAGGTATSACTCGAATGTACTCCCTTTCAAGCTCTTTAGACTTTTGTTTGACGTCKTTGATACTGCTGTCTGATTCACGGTCAGTTATAAGAACAAGAATCTTCCTGGCCTTTGGTCGTGCTCCTTCTGACGGATCAAACATTTCTCGCCCTTTGTCGAGAGCTTTTGCAAGATCAGCACCTCCAAAAGGTATTGTAACCCTGTCTATTGCAATCTTTAGGGGGTTGACGTCGCCGTCGCCGTCGCCGTCGCTTTGAAGAAAATAGAGATAAATGACGTAATGAGGGTGCACTCCCATTATAAAACAGTGCTACATTGACATTGGTGGTATCCAGTCAATACCCAATGAAAACAATTGAAGGTCCCATTCAATATACAAAATTCATGACTATTAATATTCTTTGAATTCATGAAATATAAATAATTCATGTTCCATTACATCCTCTGAAAAAAATTTACTGAGCGTAAGTGCATCTTTTGCAAACGTTTCACGAAAAGACCGAACTGATTATTTCATTGTCCAGGAGAAARACAGTCTTCCACATCCCCATGCCCCCACGAAACCAGCCATTCCTCCAAAGCTGATACCACGTGTCATGCATTTGACAAATACAGCTAAAGTTTAATAAGAAACAATTCGTCTGTAGTCAATGCCCTGCCTGGTCAATGACTACGTGATTAGTTTTACCASATCACTGCCTTACCTGGCAACAGAGTCTTTAAATTTAAAGTGGACAAAAGGAACATCACCGTAGGTAATCAAGGCATATCTAGTATTGCCAATACCATATTTGTCTACGATATTCTTTATCACTTCTTTCAGTTTTATAAARGTCACAGCAGAGTCAGGGCCAGCACTGCTGATAATAAACACCATATCTGTCAGCACGTCCTCTTCTTTTTCTACATGAAAACAAGAAAATAAATCTTAAAAGAATTGGTAATGATGAGTGTGACAAGTATACACGCATCAGGAGTTTCAGAGAACAATGTGTCCGCCATCTTGAAAAGTGAGCCCTGAATCACTGTTTTGCCTTAGAACAAATTTCATAGCTGCTTAGTCAACTAATCTATCATCATAACGTATGTTATATTAGATTTACATTAACTTAGAACCTTTTAATTTCTTTAGGAGTTATAATTTAGTGATTTGAGTCTCACTTTTCAAGATGGCGGACGCATGTATTGAATACTCGGAAATTATCATTCAGCAGATCCCCTTGAAATGGCAGTACAAAAAGGCAAATACTTCATCAAATCAAACAAGCAAAACAAGGAAGGACGGAAGGCGGCAGGAGGAAAAGAAGTGAGTCAACATAAAATGAAAGAAAGGAGGAGAGTGAGGGAAGAATTTTAATTCTTTTAATTAAAATGAACTTTGCTGAGATGGATGTATTTTACCTGGACGATAGGAAATGAGATAAAGTAGTTCAAACATAATCATTGCAAACCTTTTAAAATCTTGTCCATAATGTCCTTCGCCAGTGTCTTTGGAGGCACATCTTTATCAGTTTTAATCAGGTTCCCCTTATTTGGAGTAGTGACTTCTAATTGTGTGGGACTGGCTTTGCTTCCAAAGGCAACAGGAATGACAAGAACAGCCTTAGATGCAAGCGCTTTGTTTTCAGTCTTTATCGAATTTAGAATGCTGTCTGATTTCATATCTGTTATTATTACAAGMACTTTTTTGGCTTCTGATCGAGCATGCTGTTTGAAGAGATTTCCAGCGGCAGACATAGTCCTATAACAYACATAATAGAAAAGACAATTTCATATCATGGTGCTTTATTACATGGGATAAGATACATATTATTAAGTATTAAAATAAAATACCTGTCAATTGTTGAACCATCTGTTTTCCTTGTGATTCCGTCGAAAAATCTCTTCAGGTCGTCGTCGCTTGGGAATTTGTGAGTGAATTGTAACTCCACTGAGGGATCTCTACCAAATACAATTATGCCATACCGAATGGATCCTGTGCTGTACTGATCAATTATTGACTTGATGGTGTCTTTCATTTGACGGAAAGTGGAATCTCCATCTGAAGCTGTAGCGCTCAGTGCAAAAACAATATCAAGGTCTGGRATCTTGGGAAGGTCTTGRAAAGRGAATAAYGATATAATCATTTTCAATGCCATCAYTGGCCAAAGAAACAGGGATAACAAACATCACAATCATCATCATTAATTATTGYCATAAGCTATAATTATTATCTTAGTTTATRTTTATCATTGCCATMTAACCATCACCATTKCCTGACATTCTAGCCGCCCAGACAAACTTTGTTTAAGGTAACTTAGAACCACAATCTTAACCTGGCAATCAAAAACACTCCATACCTCGTAGTACTTTGTCCATAATCTTAGTTGCCAACTGATCAGGTTTCCCTTCCTCTTTCTCTTTGATAAGGTATTGTTTATTATTGGCCCTCTTGGTCACCTCCTTAGGGTCCACTTCATTACCAATCGCCACAGGAACCAACTTGATTTTATCTTTCTCTAAGCGTTTGACACTATCCATYCCTTCTTTGGCASTGTCTAGAGGGTCCTGAATTAAATTGATATGGTGCTTGTTGAGTGAATTTCAACAAAAACAAGAAATTATCAATAATTACCAAGGTGAGGAGGAGGAAGAAGAAACTATAAAAACATACCAATACCATACCTTGTCAACAATCACAACAACAACCTTCTTRGCAGCAGGTCTTGATGATGCAGACCTAAATAATTGCTTAACTAAATCGAGTGCCTTCCACAGAACGGGTTCTCCCCTCTCCTTTCTGGCAAGACTTAAAAGGTTAGTTAGTTCTCTGTCAGTCGTGAATTTTTCCCTGAAACTTATTACAGTTGTAGGTCTTGTACCAAAAACTACCAGAGCATAGCGGATTTTATCAGTGCCATATTTGTTGATAATGGTATTTATGGTGTCTTTCATTCGTTTGAAGGTTKTGTCTGCATTTGATGCTGCAGTGCTAACAGCAAAGGCTAGATCGATCTCAGGTATGACTGGAATRTCTGAAAAAGACATGAAAAACAACTAGTCAACAAAAAAAATTGAATAATGAAGGAATTTAGGTGTTTTCAACTTCTGGTAGCAACCAATGATGACATCATATAATAATAATTATATTATTATTATTATAATAGCTATGGTACCAGATAAAGCATTGCTCATGATAGAATTAGTAATCCGCCGAGGACTGTCTCGATCTTTGGCTGTTATGACATCATTTCTCGAGGTTGCCACATCATTTCCCTCATTGGAATCAGCCTCATTTCCAAGAAGAACAGTAATGATGTGARCTTTGTCGTCTTTCAGTGGTGTTACAGCTGACATGACAGCTGGTCTGCTGGAGTCTGSAAAGTGAAACGAATGAAAKATAWTTTGAAGTCATCAAATGAAAATTTTGCTCTTTCATCATGATGTACTTGATGATACTTAATAGCTCATATCTATTACTAAAATTATAATGATGACCATAATTTCCAATACCTGATCGTTTATCTGTTATAACAACTAACACCTTCTTAGCACCAGACCGTATTGTCTCAGCTTCATCAAATAATTTCTGTGCAGAGCGAAGAGCTGCAGAAAGGTCTGCACCACGCCCATTCATCGTAACCGTGTCAACAAATCTCTCAAGCGTTTGGTCTTTAGTAATACTATTTACAAATCTTAGCTTGGTTTGAGRYGGATTGCCATATGTTACTATGCTGTAATGGATTCGCCTTTTTCCATATTCACGAATCACACGTTTTATGATCTCTTTCATCTTTTTGAAGTTCTGTTGAGCATTGGTACCAGTTGCACTTAGTGCGAAKATAAGGTTGATTTCTTGGATAGGCTTAAGTTCTATAGTGAGAAAATACATGGATTTTTCAGAAAGGTAGAGAGCTAGAATCGTAAATGCAAAATGGTCTACTGGTCAACTGCTATGACTGGTTTGCTTACATAAGGTTTCCCAATACCCAATAATGACCAACCTTATATTAAATATTACTTATTATTAAGATTTCCTACCTTCAATGGCCTTGTTCATAATCTTCTCAGCTGTTTTATTTGAGGCGTCTTTATTGTCAGGTTCTATAAGATTGCCCTTATATGGAGTTAACACAATCAATTCTTCCTTATTCACAGCGTCACCAATAGCTATGGGAATGACCTTGATCTTTGCTATTTCTAAATCTAAAGAGCTTTTCTTAAGCTTCTCCATGTCACTTGTAGATTGACCACTCATAATTATGATAGCCACCTGCAATTACAACGTGTAAAATGATAAATATCTTTTATGCTGGTCATATCCCATGTCCATCACTTCAATAATAAAATGASTACCTTTTTAGCTTGTGGTCTGGGWGAAGACAGGAGCAGAGATTTCACTTTGTCAAGCGCATTGTCTAGYTTGGAACCCACAGTTTGYGGCGCATTCTTAATAAACTCCTGAAGAGATTTGTCATCAGGGAAAGAGTTGGTAAACCTAACATGCTCTTTCACTTTGTCCCCAAATAACACAACACTGTAGCTGATATTGAAAGAACCGTATCTTGCAACCACAGAACTAACGATGTCTTTAATCTTGTTAAAGTCGCTTAAGCTCCTTAGAGCATTGTTGTCTAGTGCAAAGGCCAGATCAAGTTGTGGAATTCGTCGGTAATCTAGGTGTTGAAGAAATTACATTGTCAAGCTGTGTGGTTTATATGTTGGGAACAATGGGTGATATTCAAACCCACTTTACTTAACAATCATGCCAACGGATGCCATCTCGTCTTACCTTCACTAAGTKTATGGACGATTAATTCAGCTATTCTATCGGGTGTAGTGCTCACAGGATCGAGCTTTATTARGTCTTTCTTGGTTKGTGTTATCTTCTCCAGTTCACCAGGCTTTGCTTCAGGACCAACAGCAATACYAATGGTACGAATRCCATCTTTGTCTAGTAATGTTGCAGCATTTTTCAGCTCTGAAGGCGAGTTGCTAAATACAGAAGAAAGGAATTCATTATTAACTATAGTTTATCAAATAAAAGTTTTAAATCAAGTTTCCTAAGGCAGATGTTACAGCCACATTATAAAAATACATTTCTATTTTTACAATTTTAAGAACAAGCATATCAAAGAGATTATGGTTGATATAAAAAAAATCAGTATGTTTAACATTTCAACTCTACCTTGAATCTTTATCTGTTATTAACACTAGTACTTTATGTGCATCTGGTCGTCCATTAGAGCCAGCAAACATCTTCTTGGCAAGGTCCAAAGCTTTCTTTATATTAGGTGTTCCACTTGGTCTGGCAAAKACTCCAACTAGCCTCTTGAGGCTTTCTATATCATTAAAACGTTCACCAAGAGAAAGACGAGCTACTGCATCCTTGCCAAATACTATAAAGCCGTATTGTAGTGATTTGGTTCCATGTTTAATGACTATATCATTGAAGGCTTGTTTGATCTTGTTGAATGTATCTTGAGCATTGGAGGAAGTGGTGCTTACTGCGAATACAAGGTCCACTTTGGGAATGGGGACAGTATCTGGAATATTAAACATTATCAATCATTGAATTAGTMATAGTCAATATTAATGAACAGTGGATTACTAATTCGAAAATAAATAATTATTATCTTTTTCTAAAATGTGATTTAGTCAATTTCTTTCACAAAAGTCTTCTTGACTCCTTAAGATTATGATGTATGYGYCATTACCATTGAAWGCCTTTTKCATGATATCCCTTGCAATTTGTTTRGRTGTGTCTTTATYSSTAGGATCTAGAGCATTRTCCTTATTTGGTGTTATCATTTGTAGYTCAACAGGATCAACTTGCATTCCAATGCCTACTGTTATAATCTTGATGCCAGAATCCCTCAGGGGCTCAGTGGCTATGATGACATCACTGGGATCATTTGTAGGATTGCTATCGGTRATGATGACCAAGATTTYCCTTGATTCAGGACGCCTGGAAATGAYCTGGAAAGATTATGAATTGTAAGATTGTTATAATCTCTGAAAAAGAAGTAGAAAGAAGAACAAAGAAGATTGCTGTAGCGATTTTAGCACAAACACATTTTGAATACCTTTTCGTACACTTTCTTTGCGTCATCAATGGCATCCACAAGTTGCATTCCATCAGATCTAGAGACAATKACACTGACAGCATTTGGGAGATTTTGYTTGAAATTTTCAACTTCTTTTGCTGCATCTTTTACAACAGTTGAATCCACAAGWTTGATGACAGTATAGTTCACGTGGTSTGTCCCATGAACWTTCACAATCTCTTGCACGATTTCTTTCACTTTGTCAAGATTTATTGAGGCTCTCAAAGATGATAGGCTCACAATAAAGCCAATGTCCATTTGAGTTAGTGGTGTTTCTGATAAAGATTACAAAAAACATAGCACGTATTATTATTATTTTTACCAGTTWTYATCGYTTTTTRTCAGTTTTTGCAATGATATAAGGATGACTTGGGCAAGTTGCATGCTACAGTTKTATGAARACATTGTGCAATAGACCTAATCGGCTTCAACTTAATTCAAACCACCCGAGAGTAAGTTTCATTGTTCGTTGTATTTTCATTTCACAGTTGAATTCTTAGAAACAAAAGTTCTTTTTCCCACAGGATTTGAATTCGGTGGCAAYGTACATAGCAACGCCGTTAGCCGATTAGGTCTATTTAAAGTGTCCTTGGAAATATGATCCTGGACCGATTCAGGATGTAACAAGTCACTGTATATACCTGGAAAAACCTGGTCAGGTCCTAAAATGTTCCATCATCAAAGTTACGACCGAAAGAGAACATGGGAAAGGACATATTACAAGCATAACAGTGTGTTCGAGTCAAACGATTACCTGCACTGAATAAAATAACCTTATCCTCAGATAATGGCTATAAGGTGTAAAAATTTTAGGTAATTTYAAGTGGTTTTCTGAGTACTTTCTGAATCCCCTTTGGAGTTAGCTTTAAGGATTCACCTTTTCCGATACAACAACATTTATTCAATTAGATGTAATAAAACATACCATCTGCAACCTTCAACATGATTTTSCCACCAGTAATAGTATCATATTCATCGTCTGGTGATGTTATCATATTGTCCTTATTAGGYGTAATTGAAGCGAGTTCTTGCTTATTTGCTTCTGAGCCAAATGCAATTGGGATGATGGTTACTGAGGAGTCTTGGAGCTTCATGGCTTGTCTCATGACTTCAAGGGAACTACTGGATGACTTCTTGTCCATGATAACAACTTCAGATAAAAAGAATTGTTAATGTTCATCAATAAGAACATGGAAGAACAAATTACAGTAGAATTGGAAGAAGGAGGATGGAAAAGAAGAATATGAGACGCGACAAGAAGGGAAATTRATTTAGGAGAATAGAAGATGAAAATACAACAGAATTGAAAGGAGAGAACAACAATTAGGATACGAAAACAGGTAAAAACAAAAGAAGTGTCTAAGAGAAATAGAAAAATAATAGAAAAAAGAACATAAATGACAACAATAAAGAAAAATAAACGGCAGAAATGAAGCCATGCCAATAAACATATAAAAGACAAAAATAAAATTACCCAGAACTTTCTTTGCTCCAGGTCTKTCTAGTGCAGATCTGTCAAACATTACCCCAGCTTGTTTGAGTGCTTCACCAAGATCAGCTCCAGAAGACCTTATAASATTTGCATCCAAATAATCCTTGCGAAGTTTATCTTGATTAAATGCTTCACTCAAAGACATGTCTACTGATGGTATATTTCCAAATACAATGACGCCATAGCGGATGTTAAACGATCCATAGCGATCGATTAATGACTTTAAAATYTCTTTGAATTGTCTAAAGTTTGAGTCTGCCCTTGTTGCTGTTGCACTTATAGCAAGAATGAGATCCATTTTTGGAATAACCCTTGGTTCTGTAAATACATGGTAAAGGATGTTACTATCTTGCGATAAGTAAACATAACAAATGCAACGGCAACAAAAACAATAACCACAGCGACAACGTCCTCAACACCAACAACGAGAACTACAACAAGAACAACCAACGCAGCAGTACTAACAACTGCCATACCAGAACCACAGGACAAAAACAATTATAACAGCAACAGAAACAGCAACAACATGAATAACAACAGAAAAAATAATTACTATAACAACGGTAACGCCAACAACAAAGCCAATCTCACCTATCAATGCTTTTCTCACAATAGCTTTGGCAAGTGGATTAGGATAGATATCAGGTTCTCCCAAGAGCATTCTCTTCTTGTCTGGTGTCATTTTCTCATATTCAGCACTATTGTCCTCTCTTCCAAGGAACACTGGAATAACTTCAATTCCATCGTTATACAGCTCATCTGCAGCTAGCTTCASTTCTATGGGGTCACTATTGGATTTCCTGTCTCTTATTATAACCAAAATCTTTCTAGCTTCAGGTCTTCCAGAATTATCGAAAATTCTTTTGGATTCTTGAAGTGCTTTTGTCAAATCTGGGAGTCCCAATGGATGTACAGCACGATCTATGGCTTTTTTCAAGACATTGACACTGGAAAGTGGTTGATCAAAGTCAACTATTTTGGAMGTTTGCCGTGCAAATAAGAACATTGCATATCTTAGTTTGCTCAGACCTTTGTCATCTATTATTGTTTGTATGGCAGTTTTGATAGTACTGAGAGTTTGTGGGGAGCCTGAAGCAGTTGTACTGACTGCAAAGAGGAGATCAATTGCTGGAGTGGGCTTGTCYTCTGTAAATTAAAAACAAAGAGTTTGAGCATGATCGTCTGAAAAGTATTTTCTTAATGCTTGTCATTGTTTCCACAGTTGTCAACGTCATCTATTGCTAATTACATTCCGTGATTTTACCGAGAGCTAGATGCAGGTCAATGCAAACAACAATAAGTGACCAGATAATACATACTAAATACTTTGTCCATTATAGCTTTAGCTGTTTCTTCGGGTTTGTCTCCAGTGGTAGCATTCATAATATCATCTTCATCAGAGGTAAGTGCTATCAATTCTTTAAMATCTGTATCTCTTCCAACACTAACAGAAATGACTCTAAAACCATCACCTTGTGCCATTTTTCCTACCGCTTTGAGGTTATCCAAGGSACTTGTTGATTTGCTGTCAGTGATAATGACCAAGGCCTTCTGAGCATGTGGTCGCTCCCATTCAGAAAGCTATAGATGAATGAAAAACGTGTTAGCTTTGAAACTATAAATGGAATAATAGAATAAACAGAAATTTTGAAGGAGCAATTTGTGAAAACGTCATGCATACCGCTCACCTCTAGAAGCTGCCTTGCTGTCTCAACAGCTTTATCCATCGATCCACCACTTGATCTTGGTAAAGCGCCAATAAGACTCTTCATTGCTACAACACTWTCAAACCKAGAGTCAAATCTGACTTTAATCTCAGGAGTAGCTCCATATGTAACAATKGCATATCTTATCTTYTTGCGCCCATATTGGTCGATRATTRATTGAATGATATTCTTCATTTGCTGGTAGGTGGTGTCAGAGTTTGGTGAGTTTGCACCAATWACAAAGSCAAGGTCAACCTCTTGGACACCTGGGATTTCTGATGATAAAAAAAATATTTTTTTTCATTTATTAAAAAACAGCAATATATATGAAAGATTTGAGAAATAATTGAATAACTGATTGATATGTGGATGAGTAAAAGCATGGATGAAACGAAATTATAAAGAATACTGGTAAACGAAAGAATGAATCAATTCATAAGAGACATGGGACTTAGACATCATTACTGCTCACGGTCTCTTTGAGGTCTCGGGGTGTTAAATCCTGGACAAAGTTGTCAAAATAGAAAAAGTAAAAACATGATAAAAAGAAGCGGTTTAATCAACTCACCATGGAGAACATCAATAAGAGCTTTGTCTATCTTATTACCAATCTCCCTTGCGGTCTCACCAGGTGGACAAACAACTATGATGTCAGGGTCGTCAGTAGTAGGTTCAACATCACCTGGAACAACTGCATCACCAATAATTACTGGTATTATAAGAACTCCTTTTCCAATTAGCTCTTTAGCTTTAGACCTGTAAGAGAATTATTATTTCATAGATAATTGTAAATAATGTCTTAAAAGATAAATATTCAACATTAAAATCATCAAGATTCAARAGTGGGCGTTGTAAAGGCAACGTGTAACTCAGACATGACATTCAAAACGACAAAGCAAAAATGTCTTATTTAAGCTATACAACTTACCTAACTTCTTCTTTGTCAGTAGTTGTTGCTTTATCAACGGCTATAACTAACACCTTCTTGGCAGTGGGCCTTGCATCAGAGCTCTGGAACATTACTTTAGCTTCTTCAAGAGCCTTATCATAAGATGGACCCAGAGAACTACGGGGAATAGTTTCAATATGCCGYTGCATATCGTTACTACTGGTAAAATCGTCGCTAAAACTGACTTTTGGTACAGCAGTGTCACCAAAAACAATAAGACCATACTTTGCACTACCAATACCATATTTGTCAATTATGTGATTGATGGAATTTTTCATTAAGGTAAATGTTTTGTCTGGATTGTTTCCAGTTGCACTGAGAGCAAAGATGACATCTACAGGTGGGATTCGTCGCTTCCCTGCAAASACAGAACAWAAGTTAATATATAYCATGKATCCWCAACATGTGTGGCGCATTTGTCATTTATGTATAGCATTTATTGGAGTCTGAGTAATTTMCTTAGCAACTCYAAACRGAAAATGACTCACCCTGAATTGCTYTCTTKATAACATTATCAACTTTCTTGAAAGTTTGAACTGTTGGCTCCTTGATATCAATAATTGGAACCACAAGTTCTGGTCCCCCTGTGCAGATTGCAATGTCAGGTTTCTTGACTTCACTTCCAACACCAACAGCAATAACCTGACAATGACAACAAATGTAACGGAAAATGTCGCATCAAGAAGAAAGATGGAAAGAATTTGAGAAAGAGGAGAGGACGAAAAGAAAAGGGAGGAGATGATAGGGAATCAGGAAAATCAGAATGATTGGAAAGAGAAAGAAAGAGATGGGATGGCGGGAAGATGGCGAATAAAAAGAGGAGGAAAAATGAAGCACGGGAAGGTGGATGATGAGGARTGACAGATCGTAGGAAGTTGGAAGAGAATGAATAGAAGGAACTGGACGATTTGGAGAAGGAGAGAAAGGGAAAGAAGGAAATGGACGACAAGGAAGGATATGGATCATCTGGAAGAAGAGACTATGACAATACCTTGACACCATTTGCCTCCAAATCTTTAGCTTTCTCCTTGACTACGTTAGGATCACTTGTTGTCTTCTTGTCTACCACAATGATAAAGATTTTCTTGGCGTTTGGCCGTGTAGAAGAAGAGAAGACACTTGCCGCTTCAGTWATTGCTTGATCATATGCTGGACCACCTGATATACTAGGCTGTAACTCTACGTAAGTCTTGAGGCTTTCTAATTTGTATTGTTCGTCAAGACTGGCCTGAATCATAAATGCCAACATCAACAAGGAACRTTTTCCCAAGTTTTCTCCCATCGCATCCAATTTCACATGTATTTCTCAACACTTACCTTCGTAGCAGCTGAAGCTCCAAATATGATGAGACCATATTTGACTTTCCCAATTTTGTACTTGTCGATCATAGCTTTGACAAGATCTTTCATTTGTTTAAACGTTTKGAAACGCTGTAGTCCTGTTGCACTAAGTGCAAATACAAGATCAAGTGCGATTTGAGGAGGTGGACCTGAAAACAATCATGAAATACTCCACTTTAAATTGCTGCAATCTTATATTTATTTTGTACGTGTTGACGTGGTATTSTCTGCCAGCTTGAATCTAAATAGCARTCTCATCAATGATTTCTAAAGCAAACACAAAGGAAATTCAGAAGAGATAATGACCTGCYAGCGCATTTTTAAGTTGTTCATCCACTTTATCCGTAATACCATCATCRGAGTCCGTCTTCTTCACTTTTACGATACGTTCTGGTATGTCAGTAATACCTTCCATTTCATCATCATCKGTAGCATCACCAACAGCAACTGGAATGACAAACACACCYTGCTCGGCTAGTCTCGCCGATTTTCTTCGAATCAAATCCAGATTTGACACAGATTTCTTATCAACAATCACCACAGCAACCTTTTTGGACTTTGGTCTGGCACGTGCAGCTTGGGAGTTGAAAAGCTGTTCTATTGCTGTGATTGCCTTGTCAAGGTCGGGCCCCCCAGAAGATCTTGGAGTCAAGGATATAAGCGTTGCAAGTGAGTCCTTTTGTTTAATTGACTGATCAAAGGTAATGTGTGTTGTTGGCTCTGCACCGAATGATATGAGGCCATAACGAGCGTTACCAACTTYGTAGCGTTTCACCAWTTTCTCTACAACTGACTTCATTTTTATAAACGTGACATCTGGATCTGAGGACGTTGCACTCAATGCGAAGGCAAGGTCGACTTCCGGTACTTCTGAAATTTTAAAGTACACAATGATATCAGTTAGACATAGCCTGGTCTGCCTGCTCTTTGGTTCAATATAGTGGCACAGTTGTTGAACTGAATGCATTACCATTGACAGCTTTCTTTATCTTTTCGTCAAGYTTTTTGGCCATTTCATCTGGTTTRTCTGTAGGTTTTCCAGGAATGATACGGTCTGTATCATCTGTAGTTGGTATGACATCATCAGGTTTGATRTCATCGCCAATAATGACAGGAATGACAGTGACCCCTTTATTATGAAGTGCACTWGCTTTGGTTTTCACTGTAGAAATATCACTTACAGATTTCTTGTCGATTAGAATAACTAGAACCTTTGATGCCAAAGGACGAGCACCTGCGCTGGAGAATAATCTGAAGAGAAAGGTAAAGAGAATACAAAGAATATATATTAAAGGAAGAAAGTTCCAACTCATTTGAATAGGTATGAATAGGTTGGGAAGAGGAAATGAGGTTGGAAGGGAGATAAAATGGATAAAATACTACATTTTGATAAATTCAGCACTAACCTATCGGCCTCTGCAATGGCAACGTCCAGTTTCGGTGTTCCATAAGACCTKGGGATACCATCAATAAGAYTCTTCAGGTTAGCAACTGCATCAAAGTTCTGCCCAAATTCTACTTTAGTTGAGGCTAGRTTGCCAAATACAATCACTCCATATTGGACTCTGCCCATACCATATTTATCAATCATAGCAATAAGTACRTCACGCATTTGCTTGAATGTGCGATCAGCATTGCCAGCTGTTGCACTAAGAGCAAATGCCAAGTCCACATCTTTTAGGAAGGGAGGTTCTAGAGGAAGGAATGGCAACAGTAAACTAAAACTCAAGTTGAGATTATGATTCAATATGAAAATTCTTTAAAAACAATTGTTAAAGCGACTTTCTCGAAAAAACGAACAAATACAAAACAAAACATTACTCTTATGTCCAAAAATAAATAAAGAAAACAATAGTCTCCTTCACGATTTCCTGCGAAATCTTATATTACCCATCGGTATTACCCATTACCCACCACGACCTTTGAGCCTACAGAAAATTATTCACCAGCGTAACACTGCACTCTCAATAGTCGCCTTGCTTTGATGCAAAGGTACGGTTACATTTCAAGATGACACAAGAAACTGCGAAGGAGAGAATTTCCTGTCTAGATGGGATCTCACCCTTCAATCCTTTCATAATGATCGTCTTAGCTAAAGCATTAGGATCATCGTTAGTGTCAGCCTTAATAACGCTATCTTGGGTATCAGTAACGGCTTCCGCATCATCTGAGCTCCCTTTATCTTTACCATACACTACGGCTATGACTTTTACTTGCTGGGATACCATTGGCCTTRCGGCAGCTTTRATCTGTTTTGCTGTACTTACAGACCTAGGGGATTAGGAATGCAATAAAAAAKGAATGACATAACAAAAAAAAGAAAGATCCGACAGTAAACAAATKACTATAAATTACRAATTCTCACTTTTTATCACTTATKATGACAAGAATCTTYTTTGCGTTTGGCCTCATCGCAGTCTTAAACACTAAGTCCGCTTTGACAAGAGCCTTTTGAAGGTCAGGTTCACCACTCCTCATGCTTACTGTATCAATGAATCTCTTAAGATTCRCATCTGGAAGGTTTGCACTTTCGCGGAAATTCGCCCTTATCTCTGGTGTCGAACCATATACAATCAAAGCTAGTTTGACTTTCTCCATTCCGTATGTATCAATGATTGATTTAAGGATGGCTTTGCTGTGACGAAGAACTTCGGCTGCATTACTAGAGGCTGAACTTAGTGCAAAGACAATGTCCACATTGGGAATTGGTGGGTTATCAAGCGCTGGATGAATCAAAAAGGAGTTTTAATTAGTGAATAAGATATAMGTTTGATCATATCATAGTACAATCGCCTGATTATTGTTCGGTACAACCGAATTTATTCAGACTTTCCTTCATCTTATGCTATAGATGGATGAACGGATGGGAGATATTAAACACTGAATGAACTGATAGATGGCWTGCGTAAATGTACAATTGATGGATGGAAATGAACGAATTGATAACTGGTGAACAGTTCTTACCATCAACAGCTTTATCTATAATATCTTTAGCAAGGTCTTTAGGATCTGGGASCCTGGGTCTATCAATAACATTGTCTTTGTAAGGAGTTATTTTCTCCAATTCATTCTTATTTGCTTGATCTCCAATAGCAACAGGAATTACAAGAACTTTGTTGTCCTCCAGTTGCCTAGCAGCATCTAGCTTCAAGTTGTCATAMGTGTCCCCAACTGACTTTTTATCAATCATTAGAACGACAATTCGATGAGCATTGCCACGAACGCTTTTGCTCTCAAATAGTTCTTTTGCTCGTTTTAACGCTTCGCTGATCGATGGTCCTCCATTRCTAATGGGAATGGTTCGGAGTTGGCTTTTAAGGTCRGAAATGGTTAATTTATCACTAAAATCCAGCATTGTCTGAGGTTTRTCACCAAAGACGATGATACTGTAGTGAATYTTGATAATACCATATTGATCAATAATTGAACGGATTGTGTTCTTCATTAGCTTAAAGTTTTGTACTGGATTTGATACTGTAGCACTGATTGCAAACACGAGGTCGATGAATGGAGTTCTTCTGATATCTGGAGAAAGTGGAAAARTATAATATACTTATTAATTCACAGCTKGTCAGCTAGCCGACATATAAGCAGTTGATTCAACAACCAAGCAAGAAATAACATCTAAGTTGYCATGTTTGCATCARCTCTTACTTTTCGTGGTAAGTTCATCGATTTCTTTAGCAACATCTTTAGGGTCATCTCCTCTGTCAGTCTTAATGATGCTCGTCTTGTCAGGCGCTACAGCTGTGTAGCCGTCAGGCACTTTAGCCAAGCGTACTGWTACAATTATTATMTGAACTCCWGACTTCTCTAGTTCAATGGCTGCTTTGTACGCTGCATCATCATTGCCTGAAATGTGAAAATGTGAAATTGTAGATAATTACTCCAGCTCAATACCGATAWAAATGAGCATCTTCGGATTTGCTTCTATCTTGCCGTGTTTGTCGTTATTTGTAATGTTATTTTCATGAAGTGATCATTTTGCTGGGTATTGGCAAATGGAGCAAACCACAATGTTCATTATGTTAACACTGAACCCTTGTATGAGATGGTCTATTTGAAGCTGCATTCCCATGAGCTACAAGCTCTGTCTATCCCCCTTTCTGAAATTTCCCTTTTGTTTTTGTCATTGTTCTATCGCTCTCTTGACACTGTTTTGCTCTGTTTTAATGCATTTTGAACAATGATGTTTCTTTACCTGTTGGCTCCGTATCCGTGAATAGCACAAGTACTTTTTTCGCTTCAGGTCGTCCCCCTTTAGCAAACACTTCCTTGGCTTCATTWAGTGCCTTCTCCAAAACAGATCCCCCAGAGCTCCTCGGTATATTATCAATAAGTTTTTTGAAAACCTCATCACTAGGATACTCCTCAGCAAAGAATTTCTTAACTGATGGGTAGTCACTAAATATTATTACTCCGTATTTGGTGTCACGCGATGGATGAAGATTCACCAGTTCTTTTACAATGTCTTTGACTTGAGAAAAGCTTTCTCGTGCAACGGGTCCATCTGTGGTGATRGCAACTACAATGTCGAGGTCTTTTTTGGGCGAAACAACTGTAAAAATTAACTCAAAACTTAAATATTATTCATCATATTACAAGTTTTAAATCAGAAAGTGACAGAAAGAGATAAACGTGGAAAAGAATAATAAGACTTTACCTTCTAAAATCTTTCTCACTATCTCTTGTCCTAATTTCTTTGGGTCTTCATCTCCTTCAGCACTTATAGTGTCATTGTTTCTTGGAGAGAGCTTGTCAATCCTTGGCATATCAACCTCCTTGCCAATACCCACGGCAATGATCTTTACATKTTTTCTTTCCAAATCATCAACAGCCCTCCGGAGGTCTATGTCACTTGAGCTTGACCTCTTATCTGTSACTATAACTAAAACCTTGTGAGMTTTTGGACGAGATTTGCTGAACAAATTCCTAACCTGGACCAATGCCTGATGAAGTTCTGGACCACCAGATCTTCTAGGAAGTGAGTCCACAATTCGTCTAAGTGATGAAACATCTGGGTATTGATCATTGAAGGTTACTCCTACTGATGGCGTTCTTCCATAGACTATAACAGCATAACGAAGCTTCTTTGTTCCAAAAGTATCAATGACTTCTTTAACAACCGCCTTGATTTTACTGTAMGTTTGATCTGCACTAGAAGCCACAGCACTTATTGCAAATACCAAATCGATTTCAGGGCTGTCAGGAGTGTCTAACGAGAGAAGTAAAACATTCAGAMATTGAAGAAGTTTATACGAAATATAGAAGCAGTAACATCCAGTATAACTATATGACTTGATAATACATTTGTTTTAATACCTTTCAGAATCTTATCCATAATCTTTTCACCCAGTTCTTCAGGGTCATCGATGTCTTTCTCTTTGATCAAGTTCCCCTTGTCATCTGTGGTTTTCTCCAGTTCCTTTGGATCAGCATTGCTACCGATAGCAACTGGGATAACCAAGACACCTCTGTCTATCAAATCCTTGGCCTTTGATTGGATAACACTGGGWGAATCACCAGATTTATTATCGATGATRATAACCAAAACTTTCCTTGCGTTAGGACGATTGTTGTGCGAGGTAAAAAGCTGTTTTCCTTCTGATAGCATCTTATCAAGTGAGGGAGAACCCACGGCACGTGTTGCGGCACCTATAGCGGTTTTTAGCTTTTCATCGCTAGGGTAGATGTCACCGAAGCTTATTTTATTGAAAGCATTGGCRCCAAAKACCACAAAGCCGTAACGGATTTTGCTAGAACCATATTTGTCAACAATGGAATGCAATATYTCYTTCATTCTTTTRAAGGTTCTATCAGCRTTGGAGGCAGTAGCACTGATTGCAAATGCTAAGTCCATTTCTGGGACCACAGGTTTTCCTTCAAAAGTAATCAATAAGATCGTAAATTAGAAAGASAAATTGAATGGTGYCTAATTYAAATTGGCTGTTCCTATTTCATTGAAAGTATCTCACTGATGGAAGTCATGGGTTGAAGTACAGTCGACGTTTTATATGTTTTCCAAATATCTTTACTAYGTTCACTTTTTTTAAGCAAAAAATCTATTCCCTTCTATAACTCACTGTTAAATATCCTGTCAAAAATCTTTTCTCTGACATCTTTCGGATTTTCAGTCTTTCTTGCTGGAAGAACATCGTCTCTGTCTGCAGTGGTAAGTTTCAGTTCATCTGGGCTTCCTGTTGTGCCAAGGGGTAYGGCAATCACCTGCACATCACTCTCTTGTARACTCTTTGCAGATTGAATAACGTTRTTAGGATCGCTACCAGACCTTACATCTGAGAAGATGACCAAAATCTTGTTTGCTTCTGGTCTGCTTGTTGATTTGAAGAGTTTCTTGGCGGTGTTAATGGCCTTATGTAGAGATGGGCTACCTGAGTCTCTGAGGACATTTGCTATATAACTGTCAGAAAATAACACAGTACAGAATTTAAAAAAAAAAATTAATGACTCTGCAATTAACGCGAGTGCAAACTTACCTTTTCAAATTATCGTCASTATCGAAATCTTCATTGAAATTGACTTTGATATTTGGTTCAGCACCATACACRATAAGGCTATACTTCACTTTACCCATACCATATTTGTCAATAATTGACTGAATCACCGACTTAATGTACTTGAAATTAGCCCCAGCATCAGTTGCATATGCATTGATTGCAAAAGCAATGTCCATHTCTGGGACTCGTTTTTGAGAAAGTGCTGAAACGTCGATGCAAACAGCACTATATTAGTGATTTGAGTCTTACTTAAAGTTTAACACTTGGAGATCGTAAKCATATTGCATGCTAAAATAGTAAATAGACACGGCAATAAATACATAGTTTACCGGCTTTGATTTTATCAACAAGTTTGTCAGCTAATTTCTTTGGTTTCTCATTTGTTGGTACTTGAAGGATGTTTCGTTTATATGGTGTGACGTTTTCCAAGTCGCGCAGCCCTACTTTTTGTCCAACACCAATAGGAATTATGATGGCACCCATTTGATCAGCTAAAGGCTTGGCAGCTAACCTAAACACAAGGATGAAATATTTATTCAGGAATTCCATCTTCATTAGCATTTTCCACTGGTGTCCYCGYTCTTTTTTTCCTAACCATTCTTTTAATTCATTCCTCAAGTTCACACTCACCTTATATCATCTTTACTCGCACCAGACTCATTATCTGTGATTACGACCAAGATCTTCTTCGCATTTCGACGTGTGCTGTATTGTTCAAACACCTTCKTCGCCTCTCCCAATGCTTGATCAAGTGCTGCACCGTCAGAGGCCCTTGKRGCTGCCTCGATGCGCCTCTTMAGCAGCTCTKKGCTTGGAAGAACGTTTCTAAAGTGGGTGACAACTGTTGGCGTTTTACCATACACGATSACTGAGTACCTTGTGAAAAACAAATATAAATAAATGAGAAATATCAGAAAGAGTTGTACTCRTCTAAGGCTGGGGTATACTTTCGGCGGTATAAAGTTTCACAGTATAAAGAGAGGATGGTACCTTATATTGGAAATACCATATCGATCTATAATCTCCTTCACAGTGTCTTTCATTAACTGGAATGCCTTGTCCGAGTCTGCACTGGTCGCACTTATGACAAATCCAAGGTCTATGGTGAGATGTTTAAGAGGATCTGCAACAAACRAATTGRAACATGTTGGTGTTTTTATTTTTATCATTGCTATTGGTGGTGTTGATGCTGCTCGATGGTGTTGTTGGCGTTATTGTTGTGATGTTAATGCTCCTCTAGTCAATGTTATGTCTTTGATACTGGTGTTTTGGTTGTTGTTGCTTTTATTGGTAGAGTCGGTTATGGTAATTAATGACGAGTTGGTTGTTATGTTTATTGCTATTTCCGTTGTTATTGCAGCTCCAGTACTTTATTCCTAAATTAACACAGTAACAGTTACCTTTTCCAACCGTTTTGATAATCTTTTCCCCAACATCAGTGGGRTTTTCTTTTGTCGTAGCATTGATAACATTTCCTGGCTTGATGATCTTTATGATTCCAGGACCGTCAACAAGTGGTCCTAGTGCAACAACAGCAATTTGGATAGCCTTGTCGTGTAGAGCTGACACAGCCTTACGAGTAGCAGATTCCTGTAAAAAAAAAACAACAACACAAATTGGTGATAAAAAACAAGAAAATAAAGTAGTGAATGATTTAGCTCTAAAATGGATAATTTTGTTGTTTGTAAGGAAAAGTTCGGCGGTACACAACTAAATGTAGTTAAAATATACAGCTAATTCAGAAACGGTCTTGCAATGCACTATGCAATGTACAGGATTCAGTATTCAACGTATCCTGAAATAGCTGTCTATCTGCTGTCGAATACCTCACTGTYCGAGTTTCTATCTGTGAGAATCACAAGCGCTTTGGTGGAATCTTCCCGAACAAAACGACTTCTAAACATCTTGTCAGCTTCCTTCAGGGCCTTTTCCAAGTTGGATTCTCGTGACATTGGTGGAGCCATACCATCGATTATACGTTTTATAATATCAGGATCACTCTGGTCAGCGTCAAACCCAAATTGAACTAATGGCTTTTCGGCATAAACTAAGAGTCCATAACGAATGCTTTCCGTACCATATTTAGTAACAATGCCTTTGAGAATGCGTTTCATGAATCCGTAGGTGTCATCAAGTGATGTGACGTCTGCACTTACAGCGAATATAATGTCTAGCTTGGAAATCTTTTGTGGACCTGTAAATAATTGCGACAAGTGAGAGATGTTGATGTTGATGAATGAAATGTTCTGATGATGATGATGATGACAGTGAAAAAAAATGACGATTAGCAATATGGGGATAATAATTACAAATGGTGATAATGATGTTGGGGCAATTTAAAATCAGATATCATTTAAGGGATCAATAAAGTCAAATACCTTTGACTGCAACTTGGATGATTTGTTTGCCAATATTTTCCGGTTCTTCATTTTTTCTCGTCTTTATGACACCTCCTTTATCTGGTGTTAGCGTTGTTCCCTCACCAGGATCGACCTCATTCCCTACCAGCACAGGTATGACCTTAATATCTCTTCCTTGAAGCTCCTTTGCTTTAGTCTGCAGTTCACTCGGTGAGTTCACCGACTTTCGATCTACCATCAGCACCAAAACTTTATCTGCATCGGGTCGGGCACCTGATTTTAAGAAAGCATTCTTTGCTTCTTCTAATCCTTTGACGAAATCTGGAGTTCCAGTACTTCTCCGAATACGTTTAATTGTTTGAATTATTTCGTCATCTGTGGGGACATCTTTACCAAAGCTGAGTTGCGTTGTCGGTGAATCCCCGAAGACAATAAAAGCGAAATGAAGTCGTTTCTGGCCATGGGTGTCTACTATGTACTTCATTGTGTTTTTCATGAGTGAGAAGGTYTCATTTGCGTTGGTTGAAGCAGCAGTGAAGGCAAACCCAAGATCAATTTTAGGTACAATCGGTGTTTCTTGAAATGGAAAGAAATTCAAGATAAGTTTTGCGGCAATGGTCGAATACTATTCAATATTGTAAACATTTTTTCCTTACTTTTAAATGCAATTCTTGCAATATTTTCCATGATTTTCTTTGGGCTCTCGTCTMCACTTGCTGTTAAAACGTTGCCTTTTTCTGGTGTTGTGTTTTCAAGTTCTTTGCTGTTACCTTCATTACCTAATGCAACACCAACAACCCTGATCTTGGAGKTTTCAAGWGGGTTGGCAGCAGACTCTATTTCTTGGGGTGTGCTAATGGAACTTTTATCGGATATGATGACGAGAATCTAATGATGATGATAAYAATGATWATCAATAATTCATTAATAAAAATAATACTAATAAGATTATTAATAAACAGGAACCTTMTTTGCATTTGGTCTTTTATCRTCATCTTCAAATATCTTTCTCCCAGCTTCAAGAGTGGCTTTAAGACTCGGGCTTCCTCTTACTCTAGGAATAGCGTCCACAAAGGTTTTTAGATCTTCATCACTAACAAATTGATCTCTAAATGCTAGTCTTTCTATTGCTGTAGAACCATACGACACCACGGAGTATCTAATCTTTCCCATGGAGTACTTATCCACCATTGCCTTAATAATATTTTGCATCTTAATGAAGTTTCTCTCAGAGTTGGTAGAGGCAGCACTAATGGCGAAGACCAGATCAGCTTCTGGGACATCGMCATAGTTCACATCTACAAAAYGAAAAATCAAGTGAATTGTGTTCAATTAAGCCTTACTCAAACGTCGTACTTAAAAGTCCATCTGYYAAAATGATCWCTTCAKSTGTTWWACGGCCTAGAAAACCGTACCTAACGKTCACTCTACCAATKTTTCTTGTCTGTCAATAAAGTATACTTACTCTCTCTTATCTTATCCAGAATCTTCTTAGCAAGAGGCTTTGGACGTTCTGATGATGGCACTTTKATTAGAGTTTCTTTCAAAGGYGAWGTCTCTACAAGCTCAAAGGGATCGGCATAAGGCCCTACAGCCACTGGAATTACCCGAATCATCTCCTCTTCTAGCTCYCGGGCTGTACTCCTGATTTCCTGTCTCTTGTTACCAGATCTATTATCGACTATCACAACAAGGATCTTCCTGGCCTTATCACGTGATCCTGAGCCTTTGAAAGACCTCTTAGCTAGATCCATTGCGGCGTTAAGGTCAGCTACGCCTTGTCGACGTTTCAGCTGTGTGATTTTGCTAATAAGTGTCTCTTTGTCAGGGAACTCATCACTAAAACCAGTGACAAGAGAAGGTGTTCTACCAAATACTATGATGCTATAATGGATATTGTCAGTGTCAAGGGTTCTGACGATGGTTTTCAGTGTGTCTTGTATCAACTTAAAAATTGCAGACGCTTCGATGGATGTGGCACTGATGGCAAAGCCCAGATCGATCGCAACAGTTTCCAAAGTATCTGTATTGTGGACATTAAAACAGTTTCATAAGTCGTAAATGAATCATTCATGATTGGATTTAATTGCTGAGTATAATTAACCGATTAAATAATCAATCCACAAATGAATGTACACAAATAGTACACTAATTCCTAACCTTTTTTCAGACGTTTTACGATCTCTTCGGCAACATCAGATGGTTTGCCCTTTGTTGTTGTATTAAGTGCGTTATCTCTTTGGGGGGTAATATCCACGAGTTCTTTTGTATCAGCMTCGGTTCCGATGGCGATAGTGATAACCTGACAAAAAGCCAGRGAAAATAACATGAAAAATACAGAATAGAAGTGGATGGAATGGACAGACAGACAGACAGACAAGTATTGATGAATGAAAGAATGAGCCAATGTGAGAATGAATGACCGGACGAACGAGCGAAAAAGCATATGAATGATTGGATGGATGGATAAATGTATTAATGSAAGAGTGACCAATCAAATGATGATGAACAATTSGGAAATAAATAGGAAATAAGAAATCAGGAAAAGATTGACAAATTATGCATACCTCGATATCACTCTTCCGCAAATCGCCTGCTGCAARCTTCGCGCTATCCTTATCACCTGTCGTCGGTACGTCGGTCATAATCACCGCTACCTTACGTGCATCTGGGCGCACGCCRTCACTCTTAAACAACCTTTTCATCTCTTTAATGGCTTTCTCGATGTCCGAACCAGAGGCAAACCTTGGTAAGAACTGCAGACGTCTTTTAAGCTGTTTAGGATCGGTTATTTTATCGCTGAACGATATCTTCACGGACTGTTCATTGCCGTATATGATCAAYGCGTAGTGGATCCTGTTCGTTCCGTACTTGTCTATGATGTATTTAATCACGTCCTTCATGAATTGGAACGTCTCGACGGCGTTTGCTGAGGCAGCGCTGATTGCAAAGGCCATGTCAACTCGAGGTATCTTTGGACGAACTGAAATCCCAAAAAATTGGGTGAGATTTGGGCGAGATTTTGATGAGAAATCATTATGGAGAAGCCTACCTTTAAATGCTCTTTTGATGATTTCTTCGGCAAGTGTACCTGGGTCGATAGGTTTTTTGGTTTTRACAATGTTATCAATGTGMGGCGTCATAACGTCAGTTTCTATTGAATCAGGCTGATCACCAGTCCACACCGGAATCACCTCGATACCGTCGTCTTCAAGGTCACGTGACTTATCTTTGACGTCATTRAGATCACTAGCGGACTGTTTGTTATGCATCACGACAAGAACCTTGTATAAAGAACATACGACGTTAAATGGAAGACAGGGAGATAATATGAACCTTCTGACCTTGAGAACGGATAGACGATGATGCAACATCATTGTAAAAAAGATGCAGAACAAATATCAGAAGTCTTAGCTTCTAACGACTAAGCTGAAAAACACTGTCCTAGCGCTCATCAACATTGGAACAGTTTTGAAAGAACAAGCATAAAGATTAGTTTACAAACCTTAAGAGCTTGAGATCGAGCGGCGGGACTTTCAAAGAGTTTCTTCCCTTCTTCTAAAGCCTTATCCAATGCAGGTTCGCCAGTATTCCTTGGCAAACTATCAATCAATCGCTTTAGCGAATCATCACTAGGAAGACGCTCGCGTTCTCCGAAATTCAGCTTTGTTGTTGCTGTATCTGCATACACAATGACTGCATACTGGATCTTCTTAGTCCCATAACGATCAATGATTGTTTTAATGGTGTCTTTCATCTTGGAGAATGTTTCTCTCGAGTCTGCGGTTGATGCTTGAATTGCAAAAGCAAGGTCGACTTCCGGGACATGATGAAACTCTRCAGATATGAATACATAATATTACAATAGTATTTGTCAACTACAAACACATCGGGAAAAGACCAAGGCAGAATAGAGGAAATCTGGATTTCTTTAGAGACGTGAAACCATAAAATGATCAAAAACGATTAAAAAATAATAAAAAGTATACATTAAGAGATGAAAAAGTACGTGAGAGAGAGGACAACAAAAGTATGCAAGATAGTAAGAAAGCGACAATAAGGGAGCAAAAAGASAAACTTACTCTGGAAAACCTTGTGCATAAGTCTATTTCCAAACTGCACTGGGTCTTCCTCGTTGCTTCCTCTCATTGCGTTATCATTTTCAGGAGTCACATGATCAAGTTCGCCCATATCCACCTCGTCACCAATAGCAACAGGAATAACCTTGATCCTGTCTTCTTCCAAAGGCCTAGCTGCTCGGATAATTTCTCCAGGAGAGTTACTGGACTTCTTGTCGATGAATAGTACTAGTACGTTGCGAGCTTTAGGCCGATTTGATGCATCGAATGTTGATTTTGCCTCTTTTAGTGCCTGGAATAAGAGGAGCTTGCTATAGTCATTCATTGACTCTTATAAACTCTTTTTGTTATCAAGTCAAAGTATTTGTTCTGAGAGAAAAGTATAACTATAGATACTTTCTAGTGAAGAGAGGCTCTACAATGAAGGTGGTGATGTACCTCATTTGAATATATGAATATCTTGGACTCTAGATGATCTAATGATTTAGCTACTTGGTCTAATTTACACCGAGTGAAGAGGATCTCAATTAAACTGCTGATCAAACCAACCTTATCGATCGCTGGCTCGCCAGATCGTTTACTCAGCCCCTTGATCAGGTTCCTTAAGACTTTATCAGTTGGGAAGAACGCTGTCAAACCAACCCGTCCCTTGGCACTGGAACCATACACTATAACACCATAGCGAATCCATTCCATTGTGTAAGTACGAATGATTGAATCCATGACGGCTTTCATTTGGGCGAAGTTTTTGTCCGCATCAGGTGACGCTGCAGACATTGCAAACACCAGGTTCACCTCGGGAATTATGGGTATTTTAAGATCTAGAAAACAAAGAATATAAAACTGATTACTCGGTCCGCCAGCACTCTAAGAAAACATTTGTCTGGAACAGGGCGCTTTCTAAAAACCCTTTTACAACATATCGTATTGCATCACTTTGAAACGAATCGGATCACATCACATCATATTCAAGCGAATCGCRTTATATCGCATCATAACTCTTCGCATCGAGTTGTACCCCGTCAAATCATACGGCATCTGTCATAACAGTGTATCAAATCCTTTTGAATCGCACTATAAAATGCCATGTTAGGATACCGCAACGAATCACACAGCACCTTATCTTAGACTGACTTACTCTGTTTGACTTTATTCATAATTTTCTCGCCAAGTATAATTGGATTCTCAGTCTTTGGAACTGCCATTACGTTATCCTTCAGTGGTGTTATACTCTCCAACTGTAATGGATTTGCATACGATCCCACCGCGATCGGAATAACACGAATACCAGAGCTCTCGAAAGGTTTCGCTGCTGGACCCATCAATGCCATCCTCTGATTAGCACGGTTGTCGAGGAGGACTACGAAGAACTTCCTCGCAAAAGGACGAGAGCCTAATAATAATGATACATTAATGCAATAGTTTGAACCAAGGAAAGTCTGAAAGAGTTCAGTCAATATTTCCATGCGAAAACTCGCAATGATTCCTCTCTTTAAGGAAACGATTGAAAAAATATCCTTTTGGACAGTTATTACGGTCTCGAAGGAATCCGTTATGACGACAGGTTGCTAATCATCTACAAACTGAAAATTCTTGTACGAACCTCTTCTCTCGAACATCTCCATCCCACTTTTCAGTGTTTTTATCATGTCGGGAGAACCACTTCGTCGTGCAACGGCGTCGATCTTTATCTTCAAGATTTGAAGACTCGGCAGCGCCTCGCCAAACTCCAGTACAGTGTAAGGTTGTGAGCCAAATACGATGAGACCATATCTAAGATTATTTGTCCAGTACTTACTGGCAATGGATTTGATGGTGCTTTTCATAAGCTTGAATGCAGTAGCTGCATCAATGGAAGTTGCACTAATGGCAAATCCTATGTCGATGGCGGTAAACTCCAGTGGACCTGAAATGACAGTAGAAGCAAGTGATTGATATTCATCATTCAGTGGTATTAAAAGTATTGAATGTTTTCGCTATCAATAATATATACCTATAAGACAACTTAACGTTAAACTTAAAATTGGACTATAATAAGACACAGGAATTGATGTTTACTTCATTTTCATTGGCAAATTCTCTCTTTCTTAGGAACTGGTTGCGATGATAGAATTTTTAGTCAAGTTTCAAGTTTATATGTAAATGTTCTTAGCTGGCTCTAATTGGAGATCTGAAAATAGGGGCCTCTCTCCAGGCCCCTTTTGAGGGCAGACTATGGAAGGAACACAAACCTTTGTTAATAACATCAATGAGTTTATCAGCGGTATCATCAGGGTTTTCATCAACTGTAGTATTCATTTGATGTCCTGGTGAAGTGGCTTTGTCATTGAGATCTTTATGGTCAACTTCCCCACCAACGCCAACCATAATCAAGACTACATCATTCTTCTCTAACTGTCGCTTAGCCAGGTTCTCTCTAGAGGCATTTCCCGTTGATTTTGTGTCAGTGATAACCACAAGGACCTTCTTGGCATCTCTACGCACTGCATCACTGTCGAAAAGCTTTTTACCTGGAATACCAGGAAGTACAAAGTAGGATGGGTGAACGACTGCAGTTTTTCTATCATCATTTACAGGTGAACCTCATTGGAACGTGACGACGAATGGATGGGTGRATGGAGATGTATGTAAGGACAAAGGAAAGTTCTTATCATGGGAGGAACATTTCACATATGAATAGAGAGATGAAGGGTCGTATGGAGGGAAGGGTTGATCCAGAGACGGACAAAAGGACGGACAGACAAACCCACGTACGGGTGGCTGCATAAAGTACGCATATTATGAAATAAACTTTACCTTCAGTCAAGGCTTTTTCTATCGATGACGGCCCAGAACTCTTTGGTAGTACATTAATGAACGGCAAGATAGATGATGGATTTTTTATTCTTTCTTTGAACGATATCCTTAAAGTTACGTCATCTTCATACGTCATCAATGCATAGTGAATTCGATTGGTCCCATATCTTGTGACGACACTAGTGATGACGTTTTTCATATGCTTCAGAGTTTCGTCCGCGTTGGTGGATGCTGCACTGATAGCAAAAGCAAGGTCGACGACTGGGATTCTGCGAGGATCTGGTGACGAGAATAAATTGATTGAGCGCATGCGTGATTCATGCGTGGACACTATGTAGTTCCAGCACTCATCAATGTATTACTAGCTGTATCATTAAAAACGACCTCACTGCTGGTGTAAAGCCGTTTTATGCATCATTAATTAAGCAATAAGCAACACATTTTCGTGTGTTCCTGGTRAAATAAACCTCGCGGGATGTTAGGAGAACACGACAAAACAGAATCGTAAAAACGTGCGTTTATTTTCCCAGAAATTGGTTGAGAATTCGTGACTCCTGTTCATACGCTTTTTTATACGGGCGTAATTCAGATTAATAACTGAAGCCGGGTAAAKAAACTTCTCTAAGTATCCTYACTTGAAATTGGTTAAGAGTCAATGTACAAATGACATTTTTTATGCCGTTCAGTACAATAAGTGTGTGAAGTCAAGTGGGAAAAAGGAAGATGTTTTCACTTGAATGATAAAACACTGTCAAGTTAATGTACGAATGACACAACTGCCTATTTACCAGGTACAGGTGCAGTGTGTATTTATATTAATAACGATGWGTTAAAGAAAGCCATGAATAATTAATTTTTTATTCAAATTTCTACAAATACAACAAAAATCCGCGAGCATCTTTTGCGTTGTAAAATGATCAAAACTGATGAGCACCCATGAGGGTAGTGAAAGTTTCAGGAAATAAAAAACCTTTACCACAATTTTAACGAGCACGATCGTTTGAATTAACACTTAGAGCATGCGTACATTAAGTAATTTACGAGCTACAAAATGCATGTTGTTATTTCCGAGCTTCTCCCACATGGCTAAGCGGMTTTTCTCATACCTGTGTTTTAAAACACATTTATATTTACAAATTTCGAGAAATCATTGTTAAATTTCCTTTTACGCAAAGTACAGCTTGTTTGTCCTATTATTGACAGACTCTAATCACCAATCAGCACACAAGACTTACACATGTGTGGGAAAAGCTTTTTTGTATTTTTCGCAACTACGGATTTGTTTTGAAAGCATTTTACTTAGTTCAGGAAGTCTATGAAAGGGCCATATGAAAAAACCATATCAATGGAATTAGCTTCGTTGTTATTACTCAAAACACCGCTTTGGGGATATATTGAGTTGGATGTCAGTCACGCAGGGGTAATTAAAAAGGTTCAAAATTACATGGCTCTAGTCAGGTGTTTGAGTGACACGCTATTAAATTGACCCAACTCTAAGCAAAGAAACCAGAAAAACAAACATAATATATCTTATGATATTTACTGAGTTTATAACATTCAAGCGATGTTTGATTTTTAAGGTGACAGGCATCATACTTGAAGATAACCACGAGGTAATTGAAAATCTCCGTTTTTTTAAAGACGTCATGGCAACCCTAATGTACAAAAAAAAAACACCTTTATAACACCTGGTAGTTGAACAACTTGTTTCTCAAGCGTATGAAACTGTAAGGAATTTATCCTCAGTTGAAGTTTCATAGACAACTTGTAACAACTTGAACTTGTAGCATGAAATATGTGGCTAAGGGTCGGTTCCCCCCTGTGACATAAGCATAAGCAGAAGGAGTGTATTTTGTATGTGTGAACCGAGGAAAACAGAAGCATAGACAGAAGCAGATGAAAACTTTTTCATTTTCTTCTGCTTCTGTTTCTGCTTATGTTGAAAGATTATGAGTGTGAACCGGGACATCATAATCAGAAGAACATGCTTCTGTCAAGTGTGAACAAGCTTCTGATTCGGTTTCTGCTTATGTCATAGAATCGGCCCTAAAAGTATAAAACTGCAAGGAACTCATGCATAGAACAATGCAGAACTCATATCGTAAGAAAAGCTATAAAATTACAAAGAATTTATAAATCGACTATGACATGTAGTCTAAAGAAACCATGTAATACCATGAACACATAATAATGCAGTTTTCTTAGAATAAAATGAAAACGTAGCTTATGRAGTATTTGTATAAAGCTCTGAAACAACATATAGAATGTATATATTCACCGGTGTCTGTAACATGCTTGTAATAGCACTTATATACATGTATATGATGCACAAAACAGGAAAGACTTTATATTTGAAAGCTGATTTAAAGACACTTTAGGAAAATATACCTTTGAATATGAAACGGCAAAAGAATCATATACATAAAAACAGTACAACATAAAATAAATTGAGACACAGTGATAAATACACAAAATTGTAAATGACATTAAAATATACGATGAATAATATGTATGAAGATACATAAAGAGATAAAAAAGAATATCAAAAATACAAATATCAAAAATTAAAGATAAAATACGAAATAATAACAAAAACACGTATAAATATAAGCAAATAATACGACATCCACCAGTGATTTCCACACGACTGTTTTTTTTCTGTTTTTTTTTTTTCTGTCCACCTAAGTACTCCTATTGGTAACAACTTATTCTCAAGGGATTATACTGTTCAAACAATTCAGTCGATTCATTTACAATATTCGACCATAGAGWGGTTTTGTATAAGCGAGAAAGTGCTTATAACATGCTGAGAACGTATTACAAGCGCGATGTCCCTGTAYGAAWAGGTTCAAGGTCCGTTTTAGTAACCATAACTGACCGATAATGACCATAGCTAGCACAGCTAGTTTCACAATAACAACAGTCTTCAGCGCAGCTAGTGATTATTGCACAATTTCCACACCATATTATTGAGGTGCTTACAGTACGTTTTTAAAAATAATGAATGGTTAAGTGGTTTGTGAAAACTAATTCTTCTTAATATAGCCAGWSTGTGAGGAAAGATCACTTGTTTGGAAAAGAAAGATTCGCATTTTCTGCTGTTTGAATTACTATTTTAGTTCTGTRCACAGTATATACTGTGCTAGCTATGTATAAACTCAATTCTTATATTTCTGTAAAGAGTTTCAACGTAATTTTGAAATTACTGTCCGTTTCAATTTTAATTAAACTACATACTCTCCAATTTTTTTCATATTTCATTGTAATTTGGAGATTACAGTTTATTGCAGTAGAGAACTGCGATTATTTCGTACRTTCAAACTCGCTTTTTCGAGATTASAGACAAAATGWATATCCTAAATGGCAGTTCGTTGCWATTCACAATTCATATGTTATAGATAATGTCAATTTTCCAGCTGCTATACTGTCTCAGAAGAGTACTATTTACTTTTATTATTTTATGCTTTCAATAAAAGTATCAAGTGGTTCGATTTATGCAATCGAGTCGTTAGTGTATCCATTTGGACATCCATTCGGATCTTCCCTTCTYTCMGCAATCACAGAAACATCTAACGAGCTTTCGAGGTGCGTTTGGAACGAGCAACATAGCCCTTTTAAGATATTCCTGTAACCTTTGCGATATGTCAAATCAAAGCAAGCCAATAAACACGGATTTAAGGCGCAGTTAAGATGAGCAAGAAAGAATCGAATAAAGATCACCTCACAAGGTAAGTCGTTAGTTCCAAACAACGGAATTCCGAGAAAGTATAGGAACCAACAAACGAGATARGAACTAGTGATGCAAAGCAGCATTTTYAATAGTTTCCGCCCTGCTCTTTGTCGAATGTTCGTAGCTCCTTTAGTATTTCCAGGAGATTTTTTCAAGAAGAGATGGCTTATGATAACAATGTACAATACAATTGTTAAGGCTAAGAAGAACCAGAACACTCCTCCCAGCCCGTTTCTGTAAACAGAYACAATCTCACCAAAGAACTGGCTAAACCGCGGTGAGCAAACAAGTTTATAATTTTTTGAAGGGATGACTTCTGAGCTCATTAGAAATGGCAAGCGTAAGACTCCAGCGAGAATCCAAGATAAACAAATCGCGCCCAAAGCGGAGCGCTTGGTCATGATTCTCTTTAAAGGGAACATCATGGCGCAGAAACGATCCAACGTGATGAGAAAAATGGAAAAAACCGCTACTAAAATAGCTGTGTGATGAAGAAACAACACACCTCGACACGACACAAGCCCCGCCATGCCGTCTAGTAGCCATCTTGATCCGTAAAACATCCGTATTACCATCCTAGGCATATAWACCACTGTGATTACAAGATCTGCCAAGGACATGTTTGCAAGGAAGACGTGTGCACAATTTCTTCTTGTTGGTCCTTTTTTTACAACCATTACTGTCATTGTGTTCCCCAAGAGAGAAACTATTATAATAATAAGATATGCCAACACTCGAGGTATCCGTTTCACAAGACGTTCGTTGACAAAACAGAGCGGAGATGAGCTACTTGTATTCGAAAAAAGCAAGCTTTCGTTGGCAGCACTTGTGAGGTTCAACTCCATGTTTAATGGCTCGGTGCAAATTCTGAAGTCAAGCTGTCTTTGAACAGCTTAAATACTGTCTAGTATAGTTTACTGTGGCGTTGAGTCTGACAGCTTTGATAACATTACAGGGTTTTGCCATTTAAGAGGATTTAATTAAAATAATATCAATCACACTATAACATTTTAGAATAAAGACAGCATATACATTATTTATTATACATTATGTAATTATATATGTAATACTTCTAAGAAAAAAAAGGTTATAATCTAAATTGAGTGTTTTAACTCTTATAATCTTGAACATAATTAAGAAAAATGATTTTATAACATTTAAGAATAAAGACAGCATATACATTATTTATTATACATTATGTAATTATATATGTAATACTTCTAAGAAAAAAAAGGTTATAATCTAAATTGAGTGTTTTAACTCTTATAATCTTGAACATAATTAAGAAAAATGATTTTATAACATTTTAGAATAAAGACAGCATATACATTATTTATTATACATTATGTAATTATATATGTAATACTTCTAAGAAAAAAAAGGTTATAATCTAAATTGAGTGTTTTAACTCTTATAATCTTGAACATAATTAAGAAAAATGATTTTTCTAGATGAATGGGGGGTGTCTATTAGATTTAAGAATTCTATATATCTGTATTCTATAATCCTCGTGACTACAAAAAATATAGTCTAAAAAGCGTTCCAAACTTTTTAATCGCAAAAGTYGGGAAATCGGTCTTTAATCACGTCATGTAAAGCCAAAACTAATTGGTGTATAACAGCTAAATATTAATGTAGAAAACGCACAAAACACCGTATTATCATATGAATAGCAGTTTRCCAAGAAATTGAACCTTATCACCTGCTMGCACGAGAGAACAGGTACTTGCAAGACATCGTTATTGAGAAATASAAAATTAAGGAACTCTTGTTCAAACTGTCAATAACACATCCTAAACTAGCCAAACAAAAAAGATTCACTCAAAGATAACAAGGAGCAATGCAAACGAACAAAGTAACGATGGACTTGGTGATAAAAGTACTTGGATTAATGAACGATTTCGCAACGATAAGGAATAAAAGCGAGGTGATAACGATTGAAATAAAGTGATGATTATTCAAAACGAAGTGATAACGAGTACAGTTACAGCGATGACACAATGACGTCATCAGTTGGCTACAACTACCCAGAATGCTCTGGATATTTCATATGGTAAAATAAAGATATTTACAGGAGAAAGTCGGCAAAGGATTCTCGAAATTGTAATCGTATAATGAAGTAAATGCGATGGATTCCGAAGTAATGAAGGAAAACTGAGTGACAGTGAATTTATAACGAGTGCTTCCGATGTTAAACCGAAGACATAACGACTCATATCGAAATGAAAACGAAACRATAACGAGTGATAGCAAGSGATTCAGCCTAGAAATCGCTTCAGTATGGGAACCCGACCACGCAGAAATCCTCCAAATCTATCTTAATTAATATAGTCTTCATTAAAGCCAGCCATGAATTGAATTATCAATTAATGACATTTTACCCATGTTCAAAGTTAAAATCGTGTCAATAAAACCGATTAAATTTTTTAATTTGGAAAATCTCCAAAAGGTTTGAATCACGTAATTAGTGGAAGTGAAATTTGCCGTTGAATAAGAGCCTCATGAACATCATCAAATTCAAATTTCTAACGGCAGAATGGAAAATGTTCTGGATTTACAGAGAAGAATTTATTTCACAATCGTTGCCTCACTCAACAGAGCTTGAACGCCTGGACCATCTTAACAAAAATGTGCAAAATGTCTTGTATTTACACTTACTTAAGTCACGGAGAGAGGAATCATAATCATAATAATGTCTTCCATTCGTTTAAATTAAGTCTTTGACATATATTGTCAATCAATGCTTGACTGAACAGACCTTGAGCTCCAGGAACACCTTCAAGAAAACTGTCGTCCATTCAGTTAAATAAAGTCTTTGACATATATTGTCAATAAATGCTTGACTGAACAGACCGTNAAAAAGTACAGGAACCAACAAGAAATAAAACATATTGTGACAGCTATGAAGAGTTTCAGGAGTTTTTCTGATGCTTTTTGTTTTCGAGCTTGTTGGCAGTCGTTGTCGTTGCTTGCTCCAAYRTGCTTGGATGTCTTAAGCCGTATGATGGTAATAGTGTACAGCATGACAATGATCARTAAACAAGTACAATACAACCAAAACAGAAAATCATAATAAAYACGTGCTCCCTCGCCRAAGAGCCTTTCAAACCTWGTCGTGCACTGTAAGGACATTCCAGCACGCAAAAGAACGGGAGTTACAAGGTAMGGCCAACGTAAACCTGCWGCAAAGACCCAAGTTAAAACGACTATCACTTTGGCTGTTTCTTGAGTGATGAAGTTACGAAGTGGAAACACAATGGCGCAGAAACGATCCACAGTKGCAGCAAGAATGGTAAAAACAGATACCAAGATACAAAGATGATGAAGAAAGGGTATCAAACGACAGAGTGCCAAWCCAAATTTTCCAGTCACTAGCCAGATATTTCCATAGATGACCATTACCACCATTCTAGGCAGGTAGACCAGAGTAATGACCAGGTCAGCAACYGCCATATTAAGAAGAAACAGATGAGCCTTCTTCTTGGCCAAGTCTCCTGTGACGATGACTCTTACGACCAGAGAATTTCCAAGAAATGAAACGAGAAGAATCAGAATATACGCGAAGACACGAGCCCCTGGATCATCTTGAAAACATACAACTAAAGATGRTAACCCAGAAGTGTTCAACGGCAAAACTCCAAGCGAGAAATTACTGGGGGTTTGATTGCCTGGCATAGTCAAACCCSAACTTTTCAAAGAGGTCTTATTCAACTTCTTGAGGCTGAACGAGTGTATGATTTAGATGATCAGGCTGCTCTCTCTCTGTCCATGAGAAARTTCTTCCTTGCTTAAACACGGACCACTGAACCAAATCACAAAGTGATCAATCATAATATAGAACACCCGGAATTGCTGACAGGAGTATTTGTTAGCCAATCAGCGTCAAGTATTCTCACAAGTTGTCACCAATGGCAAAGTTTTAGCAACCAATCACCTTTCACGTAATTACTTGAGTAATATCTACATTGGGTGGAATATGATAGTACTATCTGATGGCATCTGTTTCTTGTATGTGCGCATAGAGTTTCTTATAAATCTAAATACAAGAAAAAATTTCCTAACAACTTCAAAAAAGATGATATTTCCATTTTAAAGAAGTTGTTTTTCGACTTTTTTACTTTGTGAGGTTGCATAGCACATGTTTAAGAGTAAAAACAACATTTTCTAATGAACTTCTTATTTACTTAAGTTCTTTGAATTAAAACTTYCGATTTTATTGAGCTGTTGTAATGAAATATTAACGTCAAACGTGTCGGAAATGACTTTTTGACAAAGTAAAATTAAAATCTAACTTCTATAGCTATCTCTGAATTACTTCCTCTACAACACGGGAGAAAATATCTGTTGGTTTAAATTCAAGCATTTTAATTAAAATTCCTTGATTCAAGTATCATTMAAATTTTCAAAACAGTTTYTTGGATGTTTTCGGACTTTAATTATTTGTATTAAATCTTTTATTGAACACAGCGGGCGAAGAAATAGAAACATGACAATATCCTGTTCAAAGCACTGTTTGTTCATTTAACGTTCAAAATTCKGTAGCCGCTATGGTCCATTCTAAAATAGAGCAGTATACAGTTACATAGTATTAACCAGGTTTGCTGTATAAAAATGCAACTTATTGACTTTATGAGTCCGTGGTATTCAATGGACTCACCTTCTATGTGAGTAAGGGTAAAACCAAGCGAACAACAAATGAGAGACATTTGTAATTACTTCCCTTTTTCTTTCTTTTTTATGAATTTCACTTTTTCACTTTACAACAGAGACAAACATACTGAGATCAGGCTATATTAAAAAATAAATCATGTATATTTAGGGAACCTTCCCTCCAGTGAGCGCGCGCGTCTTGAAATCTGTAAACAGAGCGCCTGGCGATTTACAGTGACAACACAGAAAACACTACGAAAAACCTCAAGATAAAAGTAGAAACTGCATACTAAAAGAACCTATCATGAACAATGATTGATGGAAATATCAATCTTATATATCGGTGAACGAGCTTATAAATTGTAAAAAACTTTCACAAAAATCGCTTTACAAATAAAATTAGGCAGATTTCAGCGGGAAAGCTGTGGACTATATACGCAGTGCGTTTTTCACCAGCACCCCTTGTACGCTAAATTTAATGTTATAAATAGAAGTCCAAGACTGCAGGTTCGGGAACCTCAACATTCATTTTGGGTGCTGGAAATGGTTGACCTTTTTTCCGATATCAAAAAAAATATTCTGATTTGTCAGTTAAAAACGCTTTGTTTAAGARGTTGTCGTCGTAAACATTACACGGAAATAAACTTAAATTTTGAAATTTAAATTTTCTTTAATTAAGTAAATGATGGCTCAGTCTCCAGAATGKCATCTTATTTTGATTTTCGTATAACTGACATCTACAATGACAATTGAAAATGAAAGGAATTTACATGCATTGAAACTAAATTGAAACTTAGGCAGTTCGGTCAGCCATTCGTAGTACGTAATTCATATGCACCTATTTCAAAAAACGTTGTCGCGTGTTACGCGTTACGCGTGTGAAATCAGCGAACGGAAGTGACGTGAATGAACAGAATAATGGCACACTTCGTTTATAATTCGGGTTTTCCTCGGTCTCCCTTCGGTCCAATTCGGTTTCCTTTTCGAAGTCACTTCGGTCTCGCCACTCTAAATCTAATTTGACGTTTCAAAATGTCAACGAAATATCTTGAAATGTGACAAAAATAATTTTTGATGATGCATGTCAATCCGATTGAGCTACCTAAGACAGATAGCAAACTTTATTCAGCTTAATGGCAACAGAACATGACTTCATTAATAAAATGTTTTTTTTRTAGTTTTAATTGATTCAGGCGTTTGACGTTTGACATCTTGTTGACTCAAGGTGTTCATTAATGATATTTGTATTGCGAAATGATAACACAAGTCGGASTTTT